CCAATAAAGATGTTAAAAAAAAGTCAAATTCTTGAAGATAGTCCAGTTTCTTCAACAAAAACAAAAATACAATTTTAAAAAGAGGATTGATGAAACCTAAGAGACTATAAGAGACTATATCAGCCAAATATAATGTGTACCCCTTATTTTCATCTTAATTCAAACAAGCCAACTAATCAAAAACAGTTTTGAGAGAATTGAGGATATTTAAGTATAGCCTGGATAACTTGATCCTATTAATGAATTACTTAGGCGTGGTGATTACTTAGGTATGGTGATATTGTGGTTACATCAATGGAATTCTTATCTTTTAGAGAAATGTTCAAAAATATTTGTGGATGGAATGATAAGATATCTGGGATTTGATTCAAAATAATCCAGTGGGAGAGGACTGTCAGAGGGTAAAGATGAAACAAGATTGGCCTAACCAAGGGGTACACAGAGGTTAATTATATTAATCTCTTTACCTGTATATATGTTTGGAAGTTTCCATTATAGTAAACTTTTTAATAAAGGAAAAAATAATCATTGCTTGAAATATAGCACAATATCTCTTATACAACAGATACCTTGAATAACATAATAATATAGTCACCGTAATTTTAAGAACAAATGGTCGTAAGCATGGCTTTGAATACAAACATAGCTATAGGTATCAAAATGACAGTACCTGAAGAAAAGGAATTCTCTCATGCTTAATTTAATCTCATTGTTCTCTTTGCCTGGAATTGGGAATAGAAACTGCTTCGCTGGCTGAATAAATCATAACTGTCCCCAAATAGTCTTCATTACTGATTTCAATAAGCATACCCCTGCATTCTAAGGACAAACAAGTAAAGGAAGTTTATAACCAAGTACTTCTTTTATAAGCATTCATTTTAACATATAAATCTTGATTATGTTAAGGTAGCTGAGCAGCAGGAAACCGGTGTTAAACTGATTTTCAGACTGGGTCTTCAAAACCTTTTTCTTTTCCGTCACCTAATTTTCCTGGGTTTTTATTGGGGGGGGCAAATTTTGGTATTAATCGATAAAACCTATTTAAGTTCTTTGCACCTAGTGATGTATATGACATCAATGAATGTTTAAACCAGAGAATAATTTCAGTGCTGATATGAAAATTAGGCCATTAAGACTAACCAATTTTTGTAGAAATTACAAGAAGGTGACATTAGCAATTAGAGTAGGATTACAGTTTAGACTGGAATAATATGTTAACGTGGGAAGACATTTCTGAACATTCTTACTAAGTGCTGGGGGGAATGAGAGCTAGGGGTTCCCCACACAATAAAATGTGAAGGACGGGTGCAAATTCTTAGAAAACAAAATTTGCTCTACCTCCCTCCCCCAGCCTTAGTTAAATCTTATCATCGTTTTGATTCTATTTATCCTAGCGTCTGCTGTGTCTCTAGATTTTCTGCTGTCTGTTATGGCATCCAAGTCAAAATGAAAGACAGGGGGTGTCCAGTTTAGGCAGACAGGAGATGAGAGAGGTTCCTGAATCACTGGCTACACTCCACTGAATACACAAGAACCATACAGCCGATGTACGCAGGAACAGGGCCAAAGTCGTGTTACCGCGGTACCAGATCGCACCTGCGCGGGGCGTGCAAGCCACCGACAAGCGCCCAGGCTTGCAGCCTTCGACCACCTCGGGGGACTCCAGTCCGCCCGACCCACAGACGCCCTCCCTCCTTCTCTGCGAGGGTCCCCACCTGCACTCCAATTCCTGCCGGCTGGGACCTTCTAACCAGATGGTGACTGAGGGCTGGTCGTTCCTCAGTCCGGCGTCCCCCACCCCTCCCTCGCCTCTCCCCAGGCCGGTGGCGCCCAACAACCTGGGCACATCAGGGCCTCTTTCGCGCTGCCAGGATCCAGTGCCCTCACGGGGCGCGAAGCAGAGCGCAGGGTCCAGATTCCGGAGAGGAACTGTGGTTGGGCGCTTCGCGGGGCAGGAGGGAGCCCATCTCCACCGCCAAGGGCGGACGGCAGGGAGGAGGCAGCGGCTCTAGGCCTGCAGGCGGTCGGGGTTCGGGGTACCGCCGACGCCTATGCGCAGGGGTGCCTGGGCTGCTGGCGACCACGAGGGGAAAGAGCGAAAGAGGGAGGAAAAACTCACTCTCAGGACTCTGCTGACTCCTCACGGGCGACCTTGGGTTAAGCGAAGTCCTCGAGTTTGGCGAGGGCCGGTACACTTGCCAGGGCCGGGCCGGTGCACTTGCCAGGGCCGGGCCGGCCGTGACCTTCCCGTCGCTCCGCTCAGGCGCTTCCTAGGGAAACGCAGAGCGGAGCCGGGGCGCTAGGCTGAGGATATGACCGTGCGCGGCCTTGGGGCGTCCGAGTCTTGCGGAGAGAAACGCGCTTCCTGGCGCGCGAGGCTGGATCCGGGAGCCCGGATGTACGATCTGTGACCGCGGCCCTCTTCCTGCCTCAGCCTCGGCGACCCACTGGAAGCCCAGGCATAAGAAGGTTGCTGACGCCCAGGGGGCTAGTAGTTGAGAAACCCGACAGAGCCCGGTGCCACCGCCCAAGGTCCTCGGGCGAGTTTCTTAATTTCTCCAAATCGCATATTTCTTATCTGTGTAATGGAGATTCCATAGTGTCTTCTTCATTGGGTGCTGGGAGGGTTAAAGGGGAATCCATTGCCCCGCAGAGAGCAGGAGATAAGGATTAGCCGCTATTGTTACTATTATTAGTGTTATTATTAGCGGGCTGGACCTGAGGGAGAGTCACTGTTCCTTGTTTCTCCTTCTGCCCTCGCCCGGCCTGTCTGTGCCTCCCAGCTCCTTCGCACTCCGCTCGAGCCCTTTAGCTCCACTACTCAGGCAGCTCTGGACGCTTCCAGTCAACCCGTCCTCAGGAAGACGATCCCGAGCGTAGGAGACGACGACCCCTGACCCTCTAGTCCTTTGCGTAACTCGGAAGCGCCGCTCACGCGGGGGTTTAAAATGGACCAGCGTTCTTATCCAAGCCTGGGGCCGAGGCCAACCGCGGGGCGGACAGAAGCCCCGGACCCGGAAGGTGTCCTGACGCCCCTACTCCGACCCCCCGGGGCCTGGGAACCAGAGCTGCGACCTCGAGCTCGACGCGGTACAGGACGCGGCCCGACCTGCTCACCGTGCCGAGCACCACGCGCCCTCGGCCCATTCCCGCTCCCGGCCGCCCCTGCCCCGGGGGCTGCGCCGCCACAAGGCCGGCCGGAACGCGCTAGCCCGGCCCCGTAGTAGCAGCGGCACCAGGCGCCGGTCCGTTCGGGCGAGCCCCAGTGAAGGCCGGAGCCCTCTGCGCGGTCGCGGCGCTTCGTGCAGGTGGACCCGAGCGCCACGTGCGCTAGGAGAAGAACGTTTAATTTATTCTTCGACGGAATCGATATTTTTCTTGAAGATTGATCGTTTGATATGGTTTCATTCGGTAATAATTAGGAGCTTAGGGGCCGGCTGAGGCCAGATTCCGGCCCGCAGTCACCCACGTTCGTGGCTTCGCTGGTCTGGCCTGGGGTCAAGGGAAGGAAGTAAACGGCGTCTCCTGTAGGGCGCGCGGGAGAGAGAGCCTCAGGGTCGGCTCTGGGCTCATCCGCGGCTGTACCCGGCGCTCAGACGTTTGTTGATCGAATAAATGAACGAATGTAGGCCTGGAGAGTTTCCACACAAAGGACAAGAGGAAATTGGAATGTGAACGGGTGTGTTGTTGGCATGAAATAGGCTCCCGTTATATTATCCCTTGTTTCCAAACTCTTAGGTGAGCCCCAGCCCGCAGAATTTGCTAAAAGGATCTTAAAGCTGAGGTGATGAGGGCGAGACAGACTGAGTTCACGATTTGGCAAAGCCTAAGGAGGGAGAGGGGGATGAAGGAGATGAAGGGGGTTTGGAGGATCGCCTACAAGCCGAGGATAGGGGTCGACGTAGTCAACCGGTGGTGCTTGCCCTGCGGGCGAAGGCTGCAGGTGCAGAGCGAGGGCAATTGAATCGGAAGCTCGAGAATGGCGGCTACCAAGGGTTGGGCTTGGGAACTTTCCAGAACACCCTCGGAACGAACTACTGCAAGCCAGGAGTCAGTGGGGGTCGTAGGCAGAAGTTCCGAGTGATGGGATGGAGATGAGAAGCTGGAGTAAAAATGGGCCAGTTAAACGGCTGTAAAAATGTGTGTCTCTATATGTTCCCTCCCTCCTGGAATGAGAAATTCAAAACTGGGGCTGAAGAGTAGATGAGGGGGCACGAGCTTCTTACACTCACGGGGGGGGGGGGACTTCCTCCAAACCTGTGCGGAATACAGTTCTTTTGAAACGTGAGCCCTGGTCAGGACCTTGAGAGCTGCAGGGTCTCTAGAAATTTGCGTTCTCTGGCGGGAGTATTTCTTGATGGACATCTTCGTCTTGTTTGCCTCCCACCCAGTCACCTGAAACCGAATACAGTGAAACCTTTCTGGTTGCAAAGTCTTTTCAGAAATTTTTTTGAAAGAGAGAGAAAGTTCTTTCTGTTCTAAAGAAAGGGAATAGAAGTTCCTAGAAGGTACCTGACCTGGGAGTTTTTAAATTGCAAATGTCCGGGATCCGAGTGCTTCATTTGATATTCCCCTTTTCTCTGGGCCCTAGTTTTGACATTTCTAATTTTTTAAATTGCCTTTTATTTTTCCCGAATAAACTTTGGCCATTACATCTAAGATTCATGTCAAATCACCCTTCAGCTTATTCAGGAGAAAAATCAACGCTTTAGAAAGATGGAAAGTAAATGGAGGATATATTTAGATGACCTCTAATTATTTTTCACTTATAGATTTCATACATACTAAATCCCATATTTTAAAAGCCAGAATTTTTTCAACTTCAAATATTCGTAAGTTTTAAAAAACATTTTGAAAATGGATTGTTTCTGACGTCTATAATAAATATGAATTGTAAAACAATTGTTTAACTGGGAGGAAAAAACTAAGTTTTAAAATAAGTTCCATTTAGAAGGCAAAATAATATAAAATAAACAATGTTGTGTAATGATTTAGCACTTTATTTAGTCCATATAGTTAGCTTTAATTTTAACACCTCTCCACGGAAGATGGCACATCAGACATACAGATCAGAAATAAATCCTCTGAAATTAAAATTCTACTCATATTACACATTGATTTCAGGAAGACAAAAAGGGCACAAGGATTCTGCGCTGGATTTGGGAATAATACTTGCAGTTCCTAGGGAGTGAAGATGGGGGAAACGTTGTGCATTGGACGATTTATTTTCTTGGTTTTTCTTTTAACAACAGAACAAAATGCCCCACTCACGTTCATAGTTCCTCTGGAAATGTGCAAATCGGAAAAGCCTTGGAAGTCACGACTGGAGGCTGGAAAAGAAATGTTCGACGCTGACGCCATCGAACATTTACGTTCAGGTTGTCTTAAGGGAACAATAACCACTTTTCCTTTGTAAGTATTTCGCTGCGAACCGAAATTAGTGGTTGCTCCGCTGTAGGATGCAGGTACACACTCTTGGTCCCGGCTGTGGAAGGTGGAGTGCGCCAGGGCAGGCGGCGAGGAAAGCGTGACCCCGGGTGGCTCCGCCCTCCAGGTTGGCTCCCTGTCCGCCCCAAGGAGTCGGGTCCAGGGCAGGTGTGGGTGCTATTCAAAAGGCCGGTGAGGTCCCCTCTCCGCCCGAAAGGGCGACCAGCGACGTCAGCCTAGAGCCCTCTACTCCAGGCTGACACCCCAGGAGCGCCGCGGTGGCGGACAGGTGCCGGCCCAGCAGAGCGCCCTTGCTGGGAGCGCAGCCGCTGGCAGAGTCCTGCTGCTGCTGCTGCTGCTGCTGCTGCTGCTGCTGCTGCTGCTGCTGCTGCCAAAAATCGTCCGGGCAGCGGATGCGGCGGCGGCGGAGACGTGGAGCAAGGGGGCAGCGGCCTGAGGATGCAACAGGCACGACGGGCGCTGCAGCAGGTGGCGGTAACCCCACGGGGTCGGGGGCAGACTCTGAGCGGCGCCTGTACCAGCTTCCCGGACCCCTTGCAGGATACTCTCGATGCTGAAGGAGGTGCATCCGCCTGCCGGCCGCGACGCCGGCCCCTTGCCCTCCTCCCAAGGCTGGGAGCCTAGCGTGGGCTGCAGCGCCGGAAGGGCGCTGGGGGTCACCAGGTCCGCGCCTTGCGCTTTCCTGGGCGCCTCAGCGTAGGCCGGGGCAGAGAGCAGCAGGTAGCGGAGGGGATGAGGATGCAGCAGCGCGCACGGGCGGCTCCCGGGAGTGGAGGCGGGATAGGTCCCCGGGACAGGCTGCGGCGGGGCCGGGGGCCCGAGCAGCATGCCCGGGTAGGGGGCATGCAGGGCGGCGGGCGCAGCGGGCAGGGGGAAGGGGTGGTGCAGGTGGGCTCCCGGAGGCGGGTGGTGGCGCTTGAAGCGCTTCCTGCGCCGAAGGAAGCTGCCGTTGTCGAACATGTCCTGGGAGGCGGGGTCCAGGCTCCAGTAGTTGCCCTTGCCAGGGTGTCCCGGCTCCCGGGGGATTTTGACGAAGCAGTCGTTGAGGGAGAGGTTGTGGCGGATGCTGTTTTGCCAGGCGGGGAACTTGCGACGGTAGTAAGGGAAGCGGCCACTGATGAAGGCGCAGATGCCGCTGAGCGTGAGGCGCTTGTGTGGGCTCTGCAGAATGGCCATGGTGATGAGCGCGATGTATGAGTACGGGGGCTTCGCCGGCTGCGGGGCGCCCGCAGAGGCCGCCGCAGACCCCATCGGTGCCCCAAACTTGGGGCCAAACTCGGAGGAGTCGCTTGGGCCGCCGCCGCCGCCGCCGCTCTCGGTGCGCTCTCCGGGAAGCGCACCCGCGCCCGCGCCCCGCCGCGCCTTCTGCGGCTCCGGCTGGTGCAGCGGCTCTAGGAGCCGCTGGCTTCCCTCGGGTTCCTCGTCTTCCTCTTCCTCCTCCTCTTCTTCATCTTCCTCCTCTCCCAGGATATCGATCGCGCCGTCTTCCCTATCGGAGCCCCGGAGGCTGCGCGGAGGTGTGGAGCGAAGGCGCTCCGCTCTTGGCAAGTTCATGAAGGAGCAGGTCTTGCAGATGCCGGAGAGGTGGCGGCCGCTCACCTGGCTCTGGGTGGGCTGGGCTGGAAGCCTGTGTTAAGAGTGTTCCAAGAAGCAGAGACGCTCGAGGTTACCCTTTTAGGTGGTGTTCTTTTTCTTCTGCCGATTTCTCCTTTCCTACACCATCCGGCAAAGATGCACTTTGCCTTTTATTGAGGCTTCTTCTGAGTCCTTGTGTGGTGGACTCCCCCGTCCCCCTTTATACCCTTTCTTGCCCTACCTCAGAGCGCTCTTCCTTCCTCCCGACGCCGTCCAGTGATGAGGGTCCTTTGAGCATTACCCGACGCGGCAAGAGCCTTCAGCTGGCCCCCTCCTTAGCCAGCAAGGAAGGTGCTTCACTCCTCAGGCTCAGCCAGCCAATTGCGCCAGGAGTTGCATAGGCTCTGTTAACGCACTTTGAAAACCGCGCAGATGAAAAAGGGGGTAGGAAAATATGTACCCGACAATCTAAGGCCACCTCCATATTCAGGCCTCTCTCCTGAAGGATAAAAATAGGAGGTGGGAGAGGGCACTAAAATATACACGGTGTTTGGCTGTAAAAGGATGTGTGACAGTAAATATGTTTTTGTGTTTCACAGCTGGTTAGTTACCCACTTTCACTGGCGGATTGTGTCCTCCACTCAGAGTGAGGAGCTGAAATATTTTTAATGTTCTCACTATATTCCCGAGCTCAGAGTGGAGTGCGAGAGGGTGTGGCCTTGTCCCTCCTACCCGCCACCTCAGCTTCCCAAAATGCTTTCCCTGACCCAAGTTTTCAGAAAAGACTGAAATGTCCTGTCGTGAGGTTGTGGAGGTGCAGGGTGGAGGGAAAGCAGGAGGGCTAGAGAGAAGTCCCCTTCCGGCAGTGATTCTCAACTTCTTTGAACATTTAACCTCAGTATGAAGTAAATTTTACACCACGATCTTGCATAGACTTATGTAACTAAAATGAGTTTCATAAAACAAGTGATCACTGATATTCTTTCATTTCTTTTTTAATGGCCATGACCAACTAAACTGATTTTGCTGCATACCAACCAGTACAAACCCAGTTTGAAATATCCTTTTCACAAAAATGGCCCAACAACTCCAAAGTATACACCCAGTCTGAGACTCCATCTCTTTCTCTCTCTCCCTTCTTCCTTCTTAAAAAAAAGAGCCAACATTAAGCACTTTTTACTATAATAATAAATTCTAATCTTGAAACTTATAGGAGGCAAAAAAGGGCTGCAGTTTCAGTGTCTTAAACTAATTCACCAGGTCATCATTCCTTTCTCACACTAGAGAAGAACAAGATGACAGAGACGCTCTGTGTAAGTCACTTGACATCCTTGGAAGTAACATGATTTTTAGATTGGCTTCAGTTAAATTAGTTCAGAGAATACAGTAGCAGTGCAGTGCAATATCATTTAATGTGTGTTATATCACTAGGTATCCTATGGTAAAATACTAACAGTATATACTCATAATTTAGTACCTACCTACTTGTGAAAAGAATTTGAGGTGGCATCTAATAAAAATTCAGCATAAAAATATTGTATTATGCCATTGATTGTTACATAGTAAATCTTCTATTAGAGTTTGTAAAATGACAACAAATTTTCAGTGAGAAATCAGAGGCCAGCTAATATAACAAAAAATAGCTTAAAGGAGTTAGTTTCTTCAGGATAAAATTTTGAAAACAGCTTTCTTACAAGTCTTTTTAAAGTCTTATCCTCTATTTATGAGGTGTTTACCCTCTAAGGCTTCTCAGTTGTATGTAGTTTGTTGAAGTAGAACAAATAACAGAAGTTTTCGAGCCTAACAGATTTGTGTTTGAATCCCAAATTAACCAATTACTACTTGTGTGACCTATTACACTAAGCTTCAGGAGGGCTGGGACAGGTGTCTTATTCAGCCTTAGATTCCCAGATGCCTTCCCCTCAACCCCCTGTAGGTAAGGCACATTTCTTCCATCAGCATAGGAATCCGATTACCTGGGAAAGGGAGCATTGTTAGTTTTCCTACAGTCAACTTCTATGGGGATTTGGGTTATTTAAAAATGAAAGGAGAAAAGTAAGGGCAGTAAAAAAAAAAGGCAAAACCACCCCCAATGATGGAAGTATGTCAAAGAGGGCACTGGGAGACAAGAAAGAGCTGCCAATGGCCAAAGCTGGGGCAATTAGAGCATCAAAATATAGTATTAGATTATTAACCAAAGAATAAATTTTCATGTGTCTATATTGATAAAAAATAGATGACTGAGTAAATTAATACATGGGGGAAAGAGGCAAATCTCCCTTGCAGAAAACTTCCAAATACATTATGTAGATATTCCACCCGCTAGGAGGTAGAGCATAACCCCCCAGTCTCTTACTGTGGGCAATGCACAATGACTTCCTTCCAAAGAGAACCATATGAAGTGGGGGAAGGGGGAATAAGTTACCCTGGAGAAACCGGATAAAGGTTTCAGCCAGGTGTCAGGTAATCAATGTCAACATCAACAGTCATAAATCAGGTTGATAGTATGTACCCTTGATATGAGGTGATAAAAATGGGAGACATGACTACCCATGTAGTCATGGTGGGGGGGCGGAGGAGGGTGGATGGATATGGGAATTCCCTTCTACTATCTGCTCTGCTCCATTTTTCTGTAAATGTAAAACTGTTCTGAAAATTCTATTTTATCAAAAAATTAAATGGGAGAAAAAGGGCCTAGTAGCCAAAAAGTAGAAACTCAAATGTCTATCAACTGATGAGTAGATGAACAAAATGTGGTATATAAACAGAATTTTATTCAGCAATAAAAAGAAACAAAATACTGATACATGCAACAACATGGATGAACCTTGAAAACATTACGGTAGGTGAAAGGAGTCCAAATAGGCAAATCTAGAGACAGAAAGTAGACAAGTAGCTGCTGGGGAACAGGGGCAGGGGGAAATGGGGATTAACTGCTAATGGATACAGAGTTTGAGAGCTATGAAAATGTTCTGGAATTACTGATAGATAGTGGTACTGGTTGCCACTACCTGTGGATATACTAAAGCCATGAACTGTATACTTTAAAGGGTAAATTTTTTTGCTAATTATATCTAAATAATATTAATATACAAAATATATCAATGTAAAAATAAATAGCTGTATCAAGGAAAACTAAGTTGAGTTCTTTGGAGATACTCCATTATGGCAAGTAATTCCTTAAGGAAAAAAAAAGGGTGGGGGGACTCTTTCTGTCCCACCTGATTAATTCTTTAATGTTGTGTTACTTTGTGCTCATGAAACACTAAAACATTTAACATGGAGTCCGGTGCATAGTGGGCACTCAATAATATTTGGAGATTACTTCTTTCCTAACACTGAATAGGTTTTTTTTTCCTGAACAAATCTATCAGGGGGTCATAAATGCCATCCATCCCACTTTGAAAAACCAACCTCTCTAAACTACTGTACAGTAAAGAGGATGTCTGATCTCTCTCCATTTTGCTCTGAAAGTTAAAGGCAATTCAGTTATCAACCAATTTGATTCTAATTTTAAATAAGTTGATTCTAATATTAAGACTAATTCTGAGAAAAAAGTCTAGTTCTTCTTTCTCATCAAAGTAGGGCAAGTTGCTAGACATTCAAAGACAGAATTCACTTCTTTCAGTATCACCTCCACAATGTATGGCATTTCTAGAACTGGGAAAGTCCTTTCAAAGAAATCTTAAAATATAATTTTCCACCTACATTACTAATCCAAAGGAGACATTTATTCAATTTGTAGCAAGCAACCAAGCCCACAAATGTTTAAAAGCCTTTTAGCTTTATTTTGTTGATAATTCCCTTCAAACTTCATAATCTATTAGGAATTAGAGACCCTTTCAATCCCTGGCCTTCCCTCACCCCCTGGGCTGACCCTTCCCACAGCTATCTCACACTCAGTACTAATGTTCTTGCCCCTTTCACTAAAAGCTGGAAAAGCCTAGGAAAGAATCATGTAAGAAGCTGTGCAGAAGCTTGAATGTATTATCAAGTCTTGCTGGAAAAGGAGAATTTACATTTACTGAAACTCTATAGTCAGGGTACTTTAAATTTAATCCCTGAGAGATTTGCACCTGAACTTTATGAATAAGGAAGCAAAGGTTTAGAGAGACTTAGTAATTTATCCTATATATTACTCAGTAAACTATAAACTTACAGATGAACTATGCCTAAACCCTGATTATCATCATTACCATAATCATAATACCCTGAAAATTTTCTATGGTTAGCAGAATAATGGCCCATGTTATTTATTTGTTAGTGATCTCCATTATAAAAATAAAATCTTCTCTCGAGGATATCTATTGGAGGTTCCAAACCCCTCTGAAGTACAGGTTAAACTGGTAATGTCTCTCTGATCACTGAAAAATACTTCATTTTGGGAAAAATAAGAACGAAGAACAGGGCAATGCATATTTAAAAGAACTTATAAATAACATAAAAATACAGTAAAAAAAAATCTAAATTAAAACAGTGAGATGCCATTCCATCCAGAATGGCAAAGGTTAAAATGTGTTAGCTAGGTTTGGAAAAAAGGGTGCTTTCATACACTCCTGTTTTACGGCAAGAAGGTACAGCCATTTGGGAAGGCAATTTATCAGTATCTGTTAAGAACTTTAAATGTGCATATCCTGGAAGCCAGTGATTCCACCCTTACATATCTCTTCCAGAGAAACATTCTCACATAAAAACAAAGAGGCGCACATAATGATGTTCACTGCAGCACTGTCTGCAATTTCAAAAACAGGAAACAACTAGTTCATCTGCCACGGTGATCACAACCACATCACTTGTCCAGCTCAAAGCCCTTCAGCCACTTCCCAGGGCTTTCAGAATAAACCAAATATTTTGCTCTGTCCTGTAAGCAAAAAGCCCGGCCCTGGCTCACAACTCCAATCCCACCTCCTACCCTGGCTTTCAAACCTTCCACCACACTTGCCTTCTTCCTGGTCTTCCAGCACACTATACGGGTTCCCACCTAAAGGCCCTCTCCACTGCTTGCTCCCTCTGTGTAGAATCTTCTCCCTGACTTTGCATCAATGACTCCTTTTAACTCTGTTCTCAACTTAAAAGCCACCTCTGGCAACCTGGATGAACCTTGAGGTTCATTATGCTAAGTGAAATAAGTTAGAGAAAGACAAATACTGTAGGATTTCACTCATCTGTGGAATATAAAAAACAAACTAACAAAACAAATAAATAAGCAAAACAAAACAAAACACATGGATACAGAGAGCAGAGCAATGGTTACCAGAGGGGAAGGGGAAGGAAACTAAACTGTATAGAGAAGGATGGAAACTAAATTTTTGGTGGTGAGCACACTGTAGTGTATACAGAAGTAAAAATATAATGTTGTACACATGAAACTTATATAATGTTAAAAGCTAACGTCACCTCAATAAGAAATAAAGTTTTTTAAAAAATGACAATTTTCACCAAATTGTACTATAGATTGAATTCAATTCAGTTAAAATCCTAGCAGCCTTTTTGAAGAAACTGACATGTTAATGATAAAATTTATATTGAAAACAAAAATACCTAAAATAGCTGTAACAACTCTGAAAAAGATAAACAAGATTGGAATATTTACACTACCTAATTTCAAAACTTACTCTAAGGCTGAAGTTATCAGGACAGTGTGGTAGTGCCATAAGGACAGACAAATGAAAATAATGTCCATGAAAACACACACACACACACACACACACACACACACACGCCACGTGATTTTCAGCAAAGGTGCAAAAAGCTCATTCAAAGGGCAAAAGAGTTTTCAAGACATAACGACGGAACAATTAACTTGAAATGGATCATGATGCTAAATGTTAAGAGCTAAAATTATTAAGTTCCTTAAAGAAAACATAGGAAAGATCTTTGTGACATTGGGATTATCAAAAAGTTCTACAACAGCCCCAACCCACCAAAAACAAAAAAGCCACTTCTCCTCAGAAAGGCTTTTCATGCCCACTCATTCTAAACTCAGTTTTGATTTTTATCAGCCTTCTTCAGGCACCTCGTATTTTCTCACTTATTTATATCCCTCCATTAGAATGTAAGCAATACAAACCTGGCTTTTAACCATCATGTGCAGTTTTAGCCCCAGCACTAATACTGGGCAAACTTGGAAGCTCTCAATGAATGTTTTTTTAAAGAAATGTATTTTATGCTATACTATGAATTTCTGTCCAGCAGTTAAAGACATATTTATATGCACTGTCATGGAAAGATCTAAGATTAATAGTTTTTTTTAAAGAGCAAACTGCATTATAATATGTAAAGAATGATTTTTTATTTAAAACACACATTATAAAAATCCTTCCTTGAGGATATTTATGGCAAGTTTGTAAGTTTCCCAAAGAAATTCCTTAAATGATAGCTTTATTATTGGAAAATAATTCACTTTGGGAAACAATATAAACCATAATGTGTGCATAAGTGAAAAGAAACATCTAAAAGGATAGACATTAAACTGACAACACTGCTTACCCAGACGTGACAGTGACTGAAGGAGAAAGGTCAGGAGAGACTGACTTCATCTGTAATGCTTGTGTTTTACAACACAAATGTAGTCATGCAATACTTTTGTAAAGAAAAATATTTAAAGATTAATACATTATAAAGAAAAAAACCAAATATTTATCAGTTTAAAACAGATTTTTAAGAGTTTAGATTAATATTACTTCAAACATGTCTCCCACAACAGTACCATTAATTATAAGCCCTTTCTCATGGCCTAGAACAGATGAATCTAAATACTTATTATTTGCCAATGAACATTATGAAGTATTATCGTGACTACATTAATTATAAAACAAATTGAAATTGTTAGGAAGGAGAAAACATTTATCTATGCTCTGTTGTGGGCCAGGAGCTGAGCTGGGTGTATTACAAACCTATTTAACCCTCACAACAAGCTTGAATGTTTGATATTATCACTGTCCACTTTAAAGTAAGAAAACTAATCTCAGAGAAATACTTTGCCCAAGATTATACAGCCAAGAAGCAGCAGAGCTGGAATTAAAGCCCTAGAATTAAAGATCTGACTCAAAACTCAGCTGACTTTCTATCAGGCAATTGGCTGCCACAAAATAAGCATATTCTCTCAACCACAAGTTAAGAGAATAGATTCAGAAGGCAAATGGATGAACATAGAGAAGTTATATTAAAAAGGTACAGAACACAGGGGATGGGAGATAGATAATCTAATCAGTTAGCCTGCCTCCAACTACTGGAACCATTCAAGATACATAGATGTAATTTTGACTTAAAGTTCTGAAAAAATATTCCAAAAGCCATTCTGACAGCCTTCTGATATTTAACAACCATTAACTCTTCTTTAAATTCCATTTAATGCCTTTCTCTTACAATCTGAATATAGTTAAGCTGACCTGGCCTTTAGCAGGAAGAAGAGAAAAGTAATCCATTGTATACTTACACGCCTACCATTTATATAAAGATTGTTAAATTATCAAAAGTTAAATGCATTTACATCTTAAGTTTTATACCTTGTCACTTTTTAGTTTATATTGAAAAATAAAGAAGTTTTGAAAAAAAAGATGAATTTAATACCAGTAGTAAAATCTACTTTAAAACTAAAATCTACTCTAAAATTAAAAGCTCTACAATTGAAATCTTTGAAATATATTACAAAGTGAATGGCTGAAGTTCCATTACACTGACTACCAGTAAGGCTTAGAATCTGACTAAGAACAAGAGAAAGTTTCAGTTAATTTCTTTGATTTAGGTTTCTTCCACTTGTAAGTCTCTACCACTGTAAACCCTTTATTTCCTTTAATAAAAATGGTGACATTGTTTTTAAAAATGTTTGTTATTAACAATAAAATTACATCCACGCAATCAGCTGAAGTTCTAAGGGAAAATGACAATGTTGAAGTAAGTTTTCCCATTATTATTATTATAACTTCCATGAGTGAGAAATTCAGCATATGTAAACTCCAAAGCCAATTCTGCAAGATATGTTTATGAATCATCTGTCCACAAAAAAAAGTCAGAGGACAGTGTATTTTATTGTATGAATATCAAATGTTTTATAATACTGATTTACTATGTTGTATGTATTCTATAAAATAAATACTATTTTAAAGTTTACACTGGAATTCGTAAGAGAAGTAATGCAAAGAATAGATGCTTGAAATACATCCAATAGGAAACTTATTCCCAATTTTATCATCCAATCCTTTTGGTGATGCTTCTAGTGTTATGGACAAACTTGATCTTCTTTGAAATGTGTTGTTCATTGATTTTCTGTTTCAGTCACAGTAGCTATAAATAGTTGTTTAAGAATATCCTTATCTAAATTCCTGCCTGCAAACAGAACAAAACATGGTATGAGTATATGATGCTTATTAAAATGACACAGTTTACCTATCAAGTCCAGATCATTAAATGCTTCATGATCTTCAGAAATTTATAAAAACAACAGTAATTAATGATTCCTTCCTTAACTTTCTAATTAAGTCCCTTAGAACCAAGTTGGCATTTGGATTAATCACTTTTCTAAAATTATTTGAAGAAGAGTAAAAGGCTTAACAAGTTCTTATGATGTTATCTCATAATTAAGACAAATACATTAACCACAAGCTTATTCAGATTTACAAAAGAGGTTCAGATTGGTTAGTACTGCTTAAGTAGCACATTATATCCCTTTCGCTCGCTCTCTCTCTCTCTCTCTCTCTCTCTTTTGCTTTAGAAATTTAACTGTCTATAAGGGAAAAGAATCTGAAAAAAATAGATATATATGTATGTATAACTAAATCACTTTGCTGTACACCTGAAAATAACACAACATTGTAAATCAACTATACTTCAATTTAAGAAAAAGTTAACTGTTTGTCACTTACCAATAAGGACCAATCGATTTGTTCTCTTACTGTCATCTTCCCAGCTCACTGGTGTCTCCTCCAGATCATACAGCTCATGGACACCTTGGACAATCACTTGTTGTGGTTTGTCTTTGATCGACACCAGCCCCTGCTCAGAGGAGAATGAGCAATCAGCCACAGTTTGAATTTAAAAGCAGAAATCGAGCATCAATGTTAATGGATTAATTACTCCCATTTCTTTTTAAAATACAAACTCATAAAGGAGATGCTGTTAAAATTACTTAATTCCAGTTATTTGTGCATTAAAGTGTTTCCTAAATCCTCCAATTTTTAAAAAAGGCTTCTGCACACATTTTTTTAAAACAATCCCTATTTCTAATGCTAAAATTAATATATGTAATTAGGATGTTTATTCAGTGTTACCACAATGAAAACTGAAACAACCAAATGATAAAACATGTTATATCTCAAATTCTACCAATTATTCTACTTTTAAGGATTTTATACTTGTTTCACAGTTTTAGTGGGAAAATTTGAGAAGTTAAAGGATTTTGGTGATAATCTGTTTTTGAATGGGTTGTAATAAATGGAGTAGATAATGAAGAAATAAAGGTAAAGAAAAACTATTATATTTATCTGAATAAAATTCATTTAACATTGCTTTGCAGAAATGAGGAACAAATTATCTGATGAACTGGCCTATGGGGATGAAATAATTTCTCTGAAATAATGTTTGTTATACATATTTATTATAAAAATAATATATATATTGAAAAATAGTAAGAGACAAACCACTGTCATTCCCACCACATAATTTTTGATGTATTCATGTATTGGGGGTACATGTTCTTCCAGTTTTCTTTTCTTGTGCAGAGTTTTGTTTTCTGCTTTTCAAATCTGAGTTTTAATATGTAACAACAAACTCCATGGACAGAATTACCTAAGCATCAATTTTATACTTGTATAAAAACTTTGAAGTTGTCAGCTGTTATTAGAGTTAACAGTTTAAACATGTTGATTATTTTCAGACTAGTATAATACTTTGTAACAGCAAAGAGAAGGAGGTCTATGAAGAGAAAGGCTGTGGTGCCTCAGATGTCCCAGCGTTGCTGTGATGAGAGGAAGGCCAAAAGAAGAACCAAGGAGGACAGCTGCAGAACAACTGTCATACACTAAGGACAAAATCCAGACTGGGATGGTGCAAGATGAGCCACTGAACTCTATACAGAGGTCTCGTTGCTGCATTAGTATAAACGCCCAAATGGTTGCTTTTCTAGGTAACCACCCCCCATTCAGTACTAGGGGATAAAAGCAGTTACAGAATGAAGTATGATCTTCCAATTAGGATCACAGAATGTAGATGGGGACACAGTCATAAAGAAGCAGCAGGATCTGGCTTAGTTCCTCTGCTGGGGAACGACTGGGGAATAGATTCAGCTGTGCTGCTCTGCAGCACCAATCCCAGGTGGAACCAGCACAGGGAGTGAAGAAATCTAAACCAAAATAGTTTCCCAGTCACTCTAGTGGCCCTAGGAAGTCGGCTGCTAGCCAGAGAATCTAGCTACTAACAGTAATGATAATACACAGTAATAATAAAACCTTATGCACACTTCTGGAAACACAGGAGTAGACACTCAAATGACTGTTGATTCGTTAAGCACACAGCCTAGAACCCACTGCTCCCTGGAAAAAACACCTTTTGTAACATAATACCCAAATATCAAGTAATATGAAGGGATTTCCAAACAGAGCAAGAATTCTTCTAGTCCTCTGTAACACTGTCTCACAGTATAACAAATGTTTAGTGTCTGCTAAATTCATCAAGAAACATAAGGTTCAGCTGCGGCAAGATTTCTAATATTACTCCTCTGTTAATGAAGCTCTCTTAGAAAAATCAACACCAGAAAACTTTCCGTTTTCTCTGACTAACCAAGCTGTGTGCCAAGGGGAGGAGAGTTTTAACAAGTCAAGCTCATTAGCCAGATAACTGCTCTGAGCACCTGGCAGTAGAGAGCAGGGGGTAACGTTTCAAAGCACACAGGTTGTTTTAGCTGCAACACTCAATGAAGCTGTGCAAATAAATCATGCTTTATGCAATGACTTCCAAAGCTTCTTTTCAGAAATGGAAATAAAACAGACAAAGGTTATTTGGACTAAAACTAGTCCTTGTGTTTAAGACTAAATATGGTTTTGTGTAACAGCAAAGAAAGGGACTTTGTCCAAAAGTATAAAGCTGTAAGCTATGTACTGCACCTTTAGTCGTATGACCTCCATGCAGTCGTCATCCCTGTTTCTCACATTCTTTTCCCACAGAAGATTCTGTATCAAGTGACATATTTTAATAAGATCAACCACTGCTCATAGGAACAACTACATAACAAAACAATTGATAAATCATTAATCAGTTAAAATTGCATTCACCTGAATATAGACATTTAGACTTTCTTCCTTTGCATTTCCTGGTACTTCGAATGTGACTGTAGTAATACTCTGTAAATCAAGAGATAGTCAATAATGATTTTTTTATAGTAATGTCAAAATATTTTTTTAAATCACAAGTTTTAAGATGAAAAGTAAGGAAACATTCATGGGCATTTGTGTTGCCTTAACAACTATATTAGGTATATCTTTTTCACTATATTTGCTGATTTTTGGTATCAGCAACTCCATGTTCTATATTCTGCAGAGTTAGTCAATGGCTTAGTATTTACACAGAGAAACTCTTATGAAAGGATACTCATTGTTTAATTCATTCTTTACAAGATTCTCAGCACTAAGAGGGAGGGTAATATAGAGAGCGTATCAACTATGTACTGGACGAGGTACTTTTGCCTGGGTCACTTTATTTCATCTTTTCATTTACTCATGACAGCAATCCTGTGGATTAAAGAGAACTATTTCCATTTTATAAATTGGGGAAGATGAGGCTTAGAAAAAATAAACTACAAAATGCAAACATTTTCTGGGAAAAATAAATATAAGTTAAAAGATTCAGTTTCTCTCTGACCAAACATGTACCAAGGGAAGAAGAGTTCCTAGAGATGAGAATGATAATATAATGTCATCTTTGGTTTTAGAAGGTTGACATCAACATTTATAGAATGTTAACTCTGAGATTTATTTTTCCTCCTGAGCTTGATAAACCTCTCACTGTCCACTCTAAGGAATCAGAAGCTTAAGATTTCCTCTAGCTGAGCACATAATTAAAATCCAAACCTCCGTTTGCCACAGTAACCCAAAATTTCAAAATTAATGATAAAAATACGCAAGGACTAAGCATAACACAATAAAAGCACAAACACCACCTTGGATAATAACATGCTGAAACCAAGCTTTAAAACAGGCAGGACGAACACACTAATGCACAGCTTTGCATAACTGTCCAGAACCACATATCTTAACAAATAATACTTAAAACTCCATACCAAAATGTATAGCAAGTCATATAGCATATCAAAATATACAGCAAAAGGTTGTCAAATGAAACATAATTTGTCAGTTTCAAAAGACAGTAGTAATTCAACTTTCAAAAATGCTTAAAATGTATTTTATTCAAGTTGGATAACTTGGCTTTTAACGTTGGGAATGTCTCAGTATAGGACTCAATATTGTCTTATTCTTAGCTTAAAGAATTTTGTATCAGGAATGATTTTTGCTTTTGCCAAGTTAGAGATATGACAATATCTCTAAGGGGTACAATTAACTGCAATGTGAAATTTTTAACATGGTTTTAAAAATTAAGACAATGCATCCTGGGGCTCAAGGAGGGAGAGATACTTTTAGAACAAGATGTTTTTCTGTACCAATAAACTCTTCTCATATTAGACAAACCCTAAAGAAGACGAAACCCATGCCCAGTGCAGAAGATAAGGGTCACAATGCATAGTTCACAACTGGCTCTACTAATAAGTATACATAGAATTCCACCTGGGTTTTCTCATCTACCTTACCACCTTCCAAACCCAGGTCCTCTTTATCAGGGTGACCAAGAAAACCATGAAAAATAGAGAAATGCATTAAACATCACTCAGTGATAAAACTGTAATGACATACATAATATGTCCTAGGTATTATCCATTTCAAACTTCTTTTTGAACCTAAAAAATGTTTATTTTGAACCTAAAATTAACTCTCCTTTCCCCAGACACAGAAAGAAGCAGAAACCTGAGGCAATAATTCAGAAAACTGAAGCAAAATAAGGTACTGCACCTAAAATAAAATTTAGGAATAACTCCCAAATTTTTGTAGTTTGCTGTGTTTTTTCTTTAACCTACCAGGTTATTTCCCTCAGTTTTCTACTCTTTTACAAACAATACCTAATATGCAATAATTTCTATATATTTTTTCATCTGGAAAACTAAGCCCACTAACATGCTTGAACACAAAACCTCTGTCACCACACTCCACTCCTCTGCTCCTCTTCCCCTGTATCACCTCTGCTGTGATATCCTGCCATCAGGTACATAGCTAAATATTTGGTGTTTTCATCCAAATCAGTTTACCTTCTAAATTTCCCTATTTCTAGTAGGTTCCTCTTGTCTATCTAGGCTTGTTTCCCATCACTTCTCTCTCTCCTTACTGCTCACCATCAGTTACTCAGGCTATTCATGCAAGCCTGCCTGTGCTCATTTTATACCATTTCCATTCTCACTGTAACCAGCATGGATCAGGCCCTAATCACAGGGTATCTGGACTTCTGCAATATCTTCCTGCTTTGTCTCCTGACTCCACACTCCAATCCAGCTCACCGGACACTGTCCAATAGCAGAGCATGAGTTCTCTTTGTCTGGCAAATCAAAGACCTAATACCTTAGGTCAGGATTCCAATACCAAGCATTCACCAGGACTTCTGCACTAGAATACTGCTCTTCTAGAGCACTGTCACTTTCCCACTTTTAAAGATCTGGATTGCTCTTTCCAGTCTAAAAAAACACAAAAAACAAAAAACCTCCTAGTTTAAGGCTACTTTTTAGTGTATAAATCAGAATAGCAGTTACATCTTTGGAAGAAGAAGGGTTACCAACTGGGAAGGGACACAAGGGAACTCTCTTAACAGTTTTGGAAATCTTTATCTTGATCTGAGTGAGAATTACAGAGATATGTGTTCATGTGTACATATGGACAGCTATATAGGCACAAATGTAAGTAAAGATACATTGACTTGTACTCTAAAACCCTGTATGCTTTATGTTAAAAAAAAGAAAAAAGAAAAAAGAAAAAACTATCTTTCATGAAGCTTCAGATCCACTAAACCAAATGAGACTGTTCATGCTTCTGAAACCCATAGTCCTTGATCTGCAATATTATATTATACTCTGTCCTATGTTTATATATCTAAAGCAGGAAAGTGCATCAGAATCTCCTGCAGAGCTTTTTTAAAAAAAATAGACATGCCCTATTTACTGGTACAATAACTTAATGTCTGGGATTTGCTTTAATACATACCAGCAAAGGTGATGGGTATTTGCAGGTTCATTATACTATTCCACTTTTATTTATGCTTGAAATTTTCCATTAAAAAATTTTTTAAAACACTCCAGCAAAAGAAATGTTAGGAAGATGGATAAAATAAAATCGGCAAAATGGTAAAAGCCATTGCAACTGGGTCATCTGCACAGGGGATTGATTCATTTTAATATTCTCTCTACTTTTGTATATCTTTGAAAATTTCCATAATAAAATGTTAAAAATATACATACACATTAATTTGCACATACCCAAGGTCTACTCCTGGAGATGTGAGAGATGGGGACCACTGAATGTCCAATATTTTTTAAAAGCCTACAAGTGATTCTGACCTACATCCCCATTTGAGAATCACAGCTTTTCATTCTTCACTGAGCACCCACCATATACCACATCCTGTGCTAAGCAACGAGGAATGTATATTTAGGAATTTATAGACTACCATAAGGGAAAAGCACTTCAACCCAAACTACAAGACATTATAAATGCCACAACAGGGGTACATTCAAGATACTGTGGGTATAGATAATGGCCATGATACAGGTTCTTGAAAGTAAATACTACATATTCTTCATCTTCTACTCCTATGACTCCTAGCATGATGTCCTTCACCTAGAAGAATGTGATGTGCTTCAATTTCTTCTTTATGACTAATACTGAGTATCATAAAGAATTTTTCTAAAAATTCTACCTCTAGGGACTTGTAACTTCTCTCATTCACTCATGTGAAAGATAAGTAAGATATACTGTGCTCACGGATTAGAAGAATTAATATTGTTAAAATGTCCATACCACCCAAAGCAATCTACAGATTCAATGCAATCCCTATCAAAATACCCTTGGCATTTTTTTTTACAAAACTAGAACAAATGATCCTAAAATTTGTATAGAACCAGAAAAGACCCAAAAAGCCAAAGCAATCTTGAGAAAAAACAAAGAGGGAGGTATCACACGCCTTGATTTCAAACTATATTATAAAGCTATAGAAATCTAAACAGTATGGTACTGGCACATAAACAGACACACAGTTCATTGAAATAGGATACAGAGCCCAGAAATAAACCCACACTCATATGGTCAATTAATCTATGACAAAGGAGGCAAGAATATACAATGAGGAAAAGACAGTCTCTTCAGTAAATGGTACTAGGAAAACAGGACAGCTACATGGAAAAGAATGAAACTAGACCACTTTCTTAAACCGTATAAAAAATAAACCTGAAATGGATTAAAGACTTAAATGTAAGAACTGAAACCAAAAAACTCCTAGAAGAAAACAGAAGCACTACACTCTTTGACATAGGTCTTAGCAATATTTTCTTGGATCTGTTTCCTCAGATAAGAGCAACTAAAGCAAAAATAAACTACTGTGACTACATCAAACCAAAAAGCTTTTGCACAGCGAATGAAACCATCAGTAAAATGAAAAGGCAACCTACTGAATGGGAGAAGATATTTGCAACTGATTTGTCTAATACATGATTAATATCCAAAATATACAAAGAAATCACACAATTCAGTATCACAAAAAACCCAAACAATCTGATTAAAAAATGGGCAGAAGATATGAACAGACATTTTTCCAAGACATACAGATGGCCAACAGACACATGAAAAGATGCTCAATATCACTAAGCATCAGGGAAAAGCAAATCAACCACAATGAGATATGACCTCACACCTGTCAAAATGGCTATTCTCAAAAAGACAACAAATAAAAAGTGTTGGTGGAGATGTAGAGAAAAGGGAACTCTCATGCGCTGTTGGTAGGAATGAAAATTGGTACAGCCACTATGGAAAACAATAATGAAGCTTCCTCAAAAAATTCAAAATAGGACTACCATACAATCCAACAATTCCGCTTCTGGGCATTTATCCAAAGAAAATGAAAACACTAAATTGAAAATATATATGCCCCCCAATGTTCATTGAAGCATTATGTATTTACAATAGCCAAGATATGGAAACAACCTAAGTGTTCACCGACTGATGAATGCATAAAGAAGATGTGGTATATGTGTTGTGTGTGTGTGTGTATGTATGTATACACACAATGATTACTCAGCCATAAAAAGACTGAAATCTTGCCATTTGTGACAGTATGGATGGGCCTAGAAGTATTATGCTAAGTAAAATAAATCACACAGAGAAAGACAAATATCTTATGATTTCACTTATATGTAGAAACTAAAAAGCACAACAAACAAGCATACATAGCAAAACAGAAACAGACTCATAGATAACAGAGAACAAACTGGTAGTTGCCAAAGGGAAGGGGCAGGGGGATAGGCAAAACAGGTGAAGGAGACTAAGAGATACAAAGTTCCAAACTATAAAATAAATAAGTCACAGGGATGTAATGTACAGCAGAGGGAATATAGTCAATAATACTGAAGTAACTTTGTATGGTGACAGATGGTAACTAGACTTACCATGGTGATCATTTCGTAATGTATAAAAATACTGAATCATTACGTTGTACACCTGAAACTAGTAATATCTTATTCTGTAATAACACTGTAGGTCAATTACACTTCAATAAAATAGATAAATGAAGATGAATATTCTATTAAAAGTTTTGCAGAGAAAAATGCCACAAACATGGTAGTATAGTTTCCATAAATATGAGCCAAAATGAAGACAAATGAACAAGTATGCTATTATCTTGGGCCTATTACAATTAATGACTCAAAAAATAAGTAACAGTCTCAAGATAAAGGAGAGAATGCCAGGCACACTGCTCACTCATATGCCCCTTTTTCACCGTGTTTTAAGAAGTTACCCTTTTTTTTCCTTCGATTCCATATATATGTGTTAGCATACGATATTTGTTTTCCTCTTTCTTTCTTTTTTTTTGCGGTACGCGGGCCTCTCACTGCTGTGGCCTCTCCCATTGCGGAGCACAGGCTCCGGACGGACAGGCTCAGCGGCCATGGCTCACGGGACTAGCCGCTCCACGGCATGTGGGATATTCCCGGACCAGGGCACGAACCCATGTCCCCTGCATCGGCAGGTGGACTCTCAACCACTGCGCCACCAGGGAAGCCCTGTTTTCCTCTTTCTGACTTACTTCACTCTGTATGACAGACTCTAGGTCCATCTACCTCACTACAAATAACTCAATTTCGTTTCTTTTTATGGCCGAGTAATATTCCATTGTATATATGTGCCACATCTTCTTTATCCATTCATCGGTTGATGGACACTTAGGTTGCTTCCATGTCCTGGCTATTGTAAACAGAGCTGCAATGAACATTTTGGTACATGACTCTTTTTGAATTATGGTTTTCTCAGGGTATATGCCCAGTAGTGGGATTGCTGGGTCGTGAAGAACCTAGGGGTAAGACGGGAATAAAGACACAGACCTACTAAAGCATGGACTTGAGGATATGGGGAGGGGGAAGGGTAAGCTGTGACAAAGTGAGAGAGTGGCATGGACATATATACACTACCAAACGTAAAACAGATAGCTAGTGGGAAGGAGCTGCATAGCACAGGGAGATCAGCTAGGTGGTTTGTGACCACCTAGAGGGGTGGGATAGGGAGGGTGGGAGGGAGGGAGACACAAGAGGGAAGAGATATGGGAACATATGTATAACTGATTCACTTTGTTATAAAGCAGAAACTAACACACTATTGTAAAGCAATTATACTCCAATAAGGATGTTAAAAAAAAAAAAAGTTACACTTAAGCTCCACCATCCACAACTTGCTTAAAAGAAAGATGGCTACAGTGAAAATATACTTTCTTTGTTCCCAGCATCTGCAATATCTACCTCAGGAATTATAGTTTTAGAGCATGAAAAACACCTTAAGGAGTTCAAATTTACAGTGCTACCTGAAGGTGAAATCAAAGTCAATTTTTATTTAAATTAGCCATGGATGCCCGTACTAGACTTTTCCTTAATCAGTTAGTTAAATATAGTTAAAAACAGGCTGCATAAAGAACCCCCAGGCTGCTTTTATATAGTAATTCCCTTCAGAAGAACTAATCAAAATATGTTGACTGACCTGTGGAAAGGAGAAGCTAAAAAGCATGATTTTCTAAGATTCTAAATAACTCTGGTTTGATGAACTCCTATTACGCATTTAAATTCTGAAAACTGTCAAAATAGTTCAAAAATGCTTTATAAAAAAAATTCTAATAAAACAATCCTAAACAGAACAATTTAGTTAAAGAGATACTTTAAAAACATTTTTTAAAGATTTTTTTACCTGATCAAGGTGAGGTTGTGTTGTTGGCACATTCTGAAGTTTTCTCTGCAAACTAAGAATAACTGATTATAAATTCAGAGCTCAATACACTTCTGATTTAACCTTATATATTACTGAGAGATACAAAGCTAAACAAGGGAGAGACTTTCCACAACTGAATCTATTACACAGCTCTAATTTTACATGCTGTTTACATATTCTAATAGACAAACACTGGCAGACTGTTTAAAAACTTTTCTTAAAAATGTATATACATTTACATACATATATATACACATAATAGAGATAAAAACTAACCTTTAGCAACACTATTTGGTGTGGTTAAATATGTTAAATAAATTTCTTTTTTATTTCCAAAAGATCTAATACAGGCCTAGGAAAATATACATAAGCATTTTACAATTGCTCAAAATTTCATCAACTCTCCACATGCTTCCTCAGATGAAAATAATGCTGAACCTAAAGAAAATTAGAAGGGTAAATTTTTCCTTTATCAATGTTTTCCCTTGAATATACCTACTTAAAAAACAAAAAACAGTATCCGTAAATGTAAGCCTTCTATACAGTCAGTTACCAGTAGTTGAGAGAAAACAAAAGGTCAGAATCCTAAAAATGCATTGTTCTGATATGGAAAGAGCAAAAGATCAATATGCCATAGATTATAACTATAACAACTGCAGCGTACCTTTAGAGACTGATGGGGGTAGGTCAGGAGGAGGAAAAGGACTTAAAACCTTGCAGATCTTTTGCCTTGAAGAACAGTGAGGGGTAAATTAGTAACAGCAAGTTTAGGAAAGAGAAAAGGCTCGTAGGAACTGTTGGAGGGAATGAGTCTCCTTGGGGGGTCTTAATAGGGAAAGTGTCAAATTAAATCCTTCCCAGCTGGTTGCTCAGGAAAGGATTCTCTTGTTGAGCATCTAAGCACAAAGAAAAGTTATGCAGGGGCATTATCCTGAACAAGGCTTCACCTTAAACAGTTGCTTCCTTAAGTGTCACTAATGCACTAAGTGTGGAATGAAATGACCTTAGAAAATGTTTGAAAAATTCTATGTTCTTTCCCTGTGTTCAATATTTAATGTTGGACAGTGACTGCCTACAACTTCCACAGGGAAGGAAAAAGTTTTCCTCTACCTCTTGAGTCCCTGGCTGGGTCTGAAAATTAGACTGACGAAGATTAACAACAGAAAAGCATATACATTTATTTAATAAAGGTTTTATTTGACAAAGGAACCTTCATAGGGAAATGAAGACCTGAAGAAATGGTTAAACCTGAGTGTTTTTGTGCTAGGTTTGATGAAGAGTGAAAAGCCACAGAAAGATATGACAGGACAGAGGATGAGCCAAGAGTAGTAAAACTAGGGGAAACTCAGAGAGGCCTATGCCTTCAGATTCCTCGTGTCTCCCTTTGTCTTCAGAGATAGGATGCTCTTTTCCTCTGGGTGGAGAGAGGTTACCTTTCACATAAGGGTGTTATGACTCATCTTACTTCAGAGGAAATGGGAGAACATATGTGCAAATCATATATCTGATGAGGGGTTAATACCTAGATTATTTAAGAACACCTACAATTCAGCCACAACAACAACAAAAAACAAATAATCCAACTAAAATATGGGGAAAGTACTTGAACAGACATTTCTCCAAAGATAATATACAAAGGGCCAACAAGTAAATGAAAAGATGCACAATATCTAATTGTTAGAGAAATGCAAATCAAAACCACAGTGAGCTATCACCTCACATCCATTGGGACAGCTACTACCAAAAACAACAGAAAATGGCAAGGATGTGGAAAAACTGGAACACTTGTGCACTGTTTGTGGGAATGTAAAATGGTGCAGCTGCTATGGAAAACAATATGGTGATTCCTCAAAATATTAAAAACAGAATTACCATATGATCCAGCAATCTCACTTCTGGGCATATATCCAGAAGAATTTAAAGCAGGATCTTGAAGAGAGATTTGCACACCCAACCCATGTTCATAGCAGAATTATTCACAATAGCCAAGAGGAAGAAGCAACCTAAATGTCCATCAATGAATAAATGGATAAAGAAAAAATGGTATATACATAAAATGGAATATTATTTAGCCTTTAAAAAGACAATGTTGTCACATGCTACAAAATGGATGAAACTTGAGAACTATGTGAAATAAGCCAGTCATGATAAGACCAATAATGTATGATTTCACTTATTTGAGGTACCTAAAGTAGTCAAATTCTTAGAAACAGATAACAGAATGGTGGTTCCCAGGGGCTGCAGGGAGGGGAACACCAGGAGTTGTGATCTGATTGGTATAGGGTTTCAGTTTTGCAAGATGAGAAAGTTCTGTAGATCCACTGCAAACAATGTGAATATACTTAACACTACTGAACTGTACACTTAAAAATGGGTAAGGATGATTAAAAAAGATATCAATGTCCAGGGAAAAACCATTTGTTCTTCTTTCCCTATCAAAAGGATTCTCTCTGGGGAAAGAGGCAGGAAACTGATCCATCACTACAGGAAAGGGAGTATCTGTGGGAACATGCCGAACTAAAATTTTCTATGTATTTCATACATTTTCTCATGGAAAGAATTACACATAGTGGTTGGTAAAGAAATATTAACAATAAGTTTCTAAAGTTAACTACCATTTACACTATAATTTCTGTAGGAGAATACATGTGATTTCCAAACATACATTTAGCAAAACTTTCAAGAATGTAATCATTAGGAATGGTCATGTATGCCAAAGAAATGACAGGAAGCATAAATCAAATGTGCATCTCTGTAAATCATTCCTGTAACTCCTATAACTGTGAAAAAGTACATTATAATAAAAGTGACCAAAATACAGGAAACATACCTTATTCCAGAGAGACTGTCAAAGGCATGAAGATCTAATATACTTGAGAGATCAACTCTATAAGAAAGAAAACCATTTTGAAGTGTTAATTTCTGTAAAATATATTCAATTAATCAAGAAAAAAAATCTCTATTCTGCTAGAAATGCAGACATAAATGTTAATCAGTATATACTATTTTGGGAAAAATAAAATGACAGGCAAGGAACAAAAAGCTGTTGTAAAAAATTTTTTATGGAATTTATAAAATTTTAAAAATTGAATAAATGGTTTAAGACCAAGGCAGAAAATTACTTGGTTATTGCTTCAATAAATTGTAGTGGTTTTTTTGGTTTGTTTTTACCTTCAATTATCTTTTCAATCCTGAAAATTTGAGCTATTCAAACTATATTTTTATAACCAAAAAAAAAATCAGTTAAAGAACTGAAATTTTTCAAAAGGAGCAGTTTATTACTCAAAAGATGAAATGAGGGAAATTGAACAAATGGAAATAACACAGTAGTATAGGTACATTGGAATTTCTGTATTTCTTTTACTCCACCTCCCTGCTTTCATGATACAACAGGTAGTATCATAAGAATATGAGGAGTCAAACGATCAATGTATAAATATTCACTCTAGGACCCTTATCTACATCTAAAGAATGTGGTTTGATTTTTATTTCCTTCAGATGGGGTTGCATATAGACTGAAACTTCTCAGTTAGTGCTCTGTCTGAATAAACATTTCTATTATAATTATTTGGTGGTAATTAAGCCTAATTTATTAGGAAAGCAGAGATTAAAATCAGAAGAGATTATATCACAATTAGCATTAGGTTTGGTTTAAATACATAAAAGTAAATTTATAAAGACTAGTGATGTGAGTTCCAAATTTTACGTCAGCCTATGAAACAGTAAAGGACAGTGATTTCTCCATAATCAAAGCTATAATGAAGGAATGTTTGAAGAAAATGACAACTATAATTAAGTCTCAAAATCATACTCCAGGGATTTGCCAAACATTTATTAAATTTTCTCACAAGGAAAACAAAACTTTGCAAATTCAAAACTTTTTCCAATACAAAAACATGTAAAAGCCATCCCCTTTAACTTAGGGCTGACCAGCTGTGTCTGCTTTGTTCATTCTCAACAGGCTGCCATATATTCATACTTGTGGCAACGATACTGTTAGATTGTGAACACCTCTCCTGGCACAAGGCAGACAAATTCCCATCTTATTAAAAGAAGAATACTCCAGAGTTCTATATTAACAGACTGTAACATTTCAAATTCTGGACATTCTAGATGAACAGAATTAGGAAAATAATCAAGCAAAGAAGTAAATGTTCCATGAAGAAATTTTTGAATATCAATTTACATAAGAGACCAAAGCCTTAACATTAAACCTATTTCCTTTCACACCATCACAGTTGAGCAAATATTTATACTGACAGGTGCCAAGTGGATGAAGTTTTCCACCAAGTTTATCACCTTTAACTTAGGAAATAGCTTAAAGTTTAAAAAGTTTACACATGCTAATTGTGTAAATACCAAAATTCAGGTCAACTGTGTGAATACCAAAAGTCAGTTTGAAACACAAGTTTCTAAATACACTACAGTTTTCACTGCAACAGTGTCCTTGAGAATACATATCATAGATTTAGAAATAATTCTGCACTGTACCCAGATTCTTTTGATATTTTCAAAACAGATAGGATCAACAAAAGACCTATACAGGTTAAATTCTATAGAGAATAATAAAATAGCAAAGTCTCTCACTGTATCTCACCAGATTCTCAATGGAGAATAAAAGAGGAAAAAGTCTAAGGTTCCAGATGAAAGTTGCCATGGACTTTAGTACCACCATCAAAAATAAATTCCTTCACCCATGCAAGGCATATAACTAGAAAACTAATTTTCATGGCATCAATTTTTATTTAACTTCCCCCTTCAGAGATAAAAACATCAGATCTTTTCCAAAACATTAACACAGAAAAAATAGACTATTATCATCATGTAAAAACTGAAAGGGAGAATGAAGCAAACAGAGGGGAAGGAAAAAAGTTCCAAAGCTCATCTTTTCTTCTAATTTCTTGAACTATCCATGCCAGGAGTATCTAATCTTTTCTCTATGAGGAGCTTTCAATTATCCGTATGTCTAAAGACTGCTTTAAGTCGCTTAAGACCAAGGACAGGAGAATGAAAAAGGAAGAGGGCTCTGGCTGTCTCAGGGGAGGGGAGTTCAGCTACTACTCCAGAGATATAGTCGTCTTTTCAAAGTTCAGTGAGTCTCAGAAACAGGGGCCACCAGACCACCCCAGACCTACGAGTTGTTGATACCACCCAATAGTAAGTCTTGAACTCTAGAGCTAAATTTCCAAATGCCCTCCCTAGTGGCATCTCAAACTCAATGTTTACAAAACGGAACTAATCCCCTTTACCAAACCCACTGCTATCACTACCCTACCCCAAAGTTGCCCCTCCTTCCTGTATTTCCTAACTTGGAGAATAGCACCACATTCAATCCACCTCCCAAGAGTCATACTGCTTTTTTTTTTTTTTTTTTTTTTTCTGGTACGCGGGCCTCTCACTGTTGTGGCCTCTCCCGTTGCGGAGCACAGGCTCCGGACGCGCAGGCTCAGCGGCATGGCTCACGGGCCAAGCCGCTCCACGACATGTGGGATCTTCCCGGACTCGGGCACGAACCCGTGTCCCCTGCATCAGCAGGCGGACTCTCAACCACTGCGCCACCAGGGAAGCCCTCATACTGCTTTTAAAATCCTTCATTAATTCCTTGCTGCCTACAGGAGAAAATCCAAACCACGTGTCATGGTGTTCAAGACCCTTTGTGGTAATTTCTCCATCTCCACAGTCATACCTCTTTTTCTCTCCACAATATAACACAATGTGTTCTAGCCATTCTAAAATATTCACAGGTTCTGGAATACAAAATCTTCCTTATGTCAAGAAAGCCACTGCTACTCTTGTCCATCTGGAAAACTCCTATTCATTCTTCAAGATTCAAGTCAATGATAACCTTACCAGTCAAAATAGTCTGACTCTTCATCAAGAAGAGTTGAACAGTTGTTCCTCTATCTTCCTGATCTTATAGGATCCTGTGCATTTAATGTTACTGTTATATTGATAATATTTAATATATTGATTTTTGCTTGTTTTCTTGTCTCTCCCAAATGAGTAATTTTAAAGGCAGAGTTTTTACCTTATACATTGCTTAAATCCTCAACATTCCATGAAATGCCTAGCAACTAGTAGAATGATCAGTAAACTGTTGAATTGATTAACTTATTATTGATCAACTGGACTTTGGTTTTCCTCTATCCAGTCCACTTAATCTCCAAGATTTAAAAAATAAGTCTGGAAAAGATAAGAATGGCACTTCTTCTAATCTTCCACTCCTGAAGTCCATCAGAACTTCCATTTGCCTCAAAATCAACTTAAGTCTCACCAATGAGACCATACTACGCCATTCTTATTTCTTAACTTAAATACTCAAGGTAAGCTTTTTCTACACATTTATAGCAGTTTTATGACTGTCATTTTACTATTGTAAGCGTTTGCCAAACACAAGATGCTTAAGAGATTAAAATTTTTTTAAGAAAGAAAATTAAAATTTTTTCTTTATTTAAGAAAGCTCCTAGATTCTCAGATGTACTGGCAAAAAAACTGATTTACAATATTTGTAAATACAAACTGAACAAATGCTATTACAACAAAACCACAGCTATTTATGGGTATGATTTTTAAAAACTTAATTAAGCATTATGTGGTTGTCTCTGTGTCATTTTGTAAAAAGCAGAAAATTTAAGAAGAAAGAAAATGGTAACGCAACAGGAAGAAGACAGATACCAAGGAATGGCTCATGGTATGAGTTAGGTTATCACAGACCTTCTACACTGGCATTTGAAATGAAGGGAGCACATGTGGTATATGCTTATAGAGGACTTAACACTAAGGCATTCTTCTGCTACCTCTACCAGCAGAGTGGCTTCTGAGAATGCATGCCAAACTAATTCCCCAGCTGTTCACATGCATATAAGCAGCTGCTGCTGTTGCTGCCTAACATTATGGCAGTCTGTCAGCACCTCTGATCTCTACCGTGGCAGATAAGCCACTCAGCTAAGGCCTTTGCTGTACTTCCCAGGACAGAATCTCTGAATTGAGAACTGGGTGTCACTAGACTGCCAGCTGTGAGCCTCAGAGCTTCTAGCTGCATGTTGCTGGGTCTATCAGCTGCTAAGCCATTCTTGCTAAAACATAAGGTTAATAAAAATACCTCTGTACAGAAATCTTCTGAAATCATGATAGCACTCAATGCAAAATAGAGTTCAATCTACAGAAATTCCTTTTACAGATGTTTTAAGAACACATCTGTTTTATAAAGTAAGGCACATCTGTACGAACAAAATTAAAAAGAGAGAAGAACCTATAGGAAATCAAAATCAAAATATTTAAAAAGAATGCATCAGGAACTTAAATGTAAAGGTTCTATGTATTTTTACATGACATTATTTTTGCAACTATTAAACACTCAGAAAGTTTTTAAAATATTAAAAAGCCATCTAAATATCTCAAATTAAGATAAGATTCCTAATAGTATACTTTTTCAGATTTCTATATTAATTACTTCCTTGAGTGGTTCAAAATCCTATGTTTTCTTCCTCATTAAAGCAAAAGCACAGTTACAGTGTAATCATGGCTCTGAGGTCTTAGTTACAAGACCTCAGTTACAATATATTAACTAAATATGCCAAACTAATTTATAAAGAGCATTCAAAACAACCTTTTGGGCCTAATTTTTTTTAAATGCACATGTATCTTCCTTATATTAGAATCAAACATAGTTATCAATTACTTAATATTTATTAACTAAAATTATTTATTGTTAATATTAGTAACAGCTTTTAAAATTACCTTGATTTTTGTGTTTCTAAAATTTTTCCCAGTCCATTTGTTAATCTGAAATATAAAAATGAGGAAGTAAAAAAATGTTAACTTTTTAAAAAACCATTCTATCACATTATTTCTAAAACATGAAGTAAGCATATACAAATATATCCTAAAGCTAGAGAACAATAAACAATAAAAAACAAACTTACATTTTTCATAGTTTAGTTTTTCCTTCTAATCATAAATCAGGTACATTCCACTTATGCATTAAAACATGATATGCAAAAATCTACTGCACAACTGAAAGATTAGGGGCTACTTTGTGATTTATATAAAGACCCTTCACTTTAGAAAAAATGATTTATAAATAGCCAGTAATTCTAATATTCTTAAAATGAGTAGATAAACTTTTAACTGACACCTAATTGTCCTCAACACACACTGTGGAAATGGCTATACACACACTAGATATAAAAACCTAGTTACGAGTGGCTTTGACCCCAGCCTGTCCTCAGTATTCAGCCATACATCCAGTTTTTGTTTTGTTTTGTTTTGTTTTGTTTCTGCGGTACGCGGGCCTCTCACTGTTGTGGCCTCTCCCGTTGCGGAGCACAGGCTCCGGACGCGCAGGCTCAGCGGCCATGGCTCACGGGCCTAGCCGCTCCACGGCATGTGGGATCTTCCCGGACCAGGGCAGGAACTCGTGTCCCCTGCATCGGCAGGTGGACTCTCAACAACTGCGACACCAGGGAAGCCCCACATCCAGTTTTTTAATAGAATACCTCTTCAGTTCTCTCGCTAGGATCTCTACCTACTCTGCCAGGCCTCCCCTTTCTGATACAAAGATAATGAAATACGGCTCCCTTTTGTATGGCGCCAAAAATACTTATTAAATCCTTTGCAGTAAACTGTACACCTCATCTATTTATATCATCAGTTCCATTGCCTTTAGGGTTACTTGATGAAGATATGTGCTATTTGTTCAAGCTTGTTCTCATGGGTAAGGCTTCCCAATGATTCTGAGGCAAGTCTCTCTATTAATTCACAAAACTCTTAATCTTCTCTTTTGAATATACTGTATAACCTGAAGGCTATTTCCTCTCAAACATGTTTATCTTCTTCCAACTCTTCAAATCTAATTCTGAGTAAGTCGCAAGTCCGAGGTACAATGGAGGGTAAAAAGCCCAAAGGGTCTGTAATTTATCAAAGTGCTTTGTCAAATTCTTTTCTGGTATTGTTATACAGTACAGGCTGGCAACAAGCTGGCTAATGTCAATACTGCTCGTGTTAGAGATGGGGATAGAAATGTCCAGTAGTAACAATTTCTCTTTTTATGCCAAAAATGTTTGTGACATAGATTATGTTCCCCGTTCGACATAGATTATGTTCCCCGTTCTACAATCACAATGATGCATAGGATTTTGAAAAGAGAAACAAAATTTAGGAGACCAGTGTCAAAAGGGGTAAAAGAAATAATCTCCATTCACCACTTTCATCTTTCTAGACTTTTCAAAAATATCAACCATCTTTCTATTTCTTTCATTTTTTTATTCACTGTAATGGAAATTACTATGTAAACTAAGAAAAAATCTACAATCTAATAATGATAATAATAGCTAACAGAGCACTTACTATGTATCAGGCACTGTGTGAAGCTTACCAACAATGCCTCAAACCAAACGCAGATTCCAAAGTCCATGATTTTAAACATTATTCAATACTACACAGCACTACCTACCCTCCACATGGAGACATTCTTACAGCTTTTTATAGTAAAATCTAAGAGGATATTACTACTAAAATAAGCCAAATAAGAAGAAAAATATGAATTCTTTCTTCTGCAATCATTAACCACTGCAGCCAAAATCCTAATGAGCTTTACCTTTACTGATTCAATTCGTAACATATATTATATGAACTGGCACTGACAAACTCAAAATCTGATGTCAGCAGATTGTACGCACTGAAGATGACCAATAATAAAAGCTATCAAATGTTTCTCTGTAGATGACTTTTATCAGTTTAGGTCTTACAAAATAATTAAAAGTCCCTGAACTTTTAACTTTTAACTTTGAAAAGTCCAAATGACTGTTGGATCTTTTAACACATATCTGAGTACCATTCATATTGTCCTATGTTGATCGGCCTTGGCCACGGACACTGAAGACATTAAAGCTAGCTGGAAAACAGGCATGGTTAGATGACAGTTAAGGAAGACCAAAGTCAATGAGGGTTCAGGGAAAAGTGAAACCACCTGAGACAGGGAAGACTTCGCAGGAAGGAGAGAGAAAGAGGTGGGAGGAAGGGATAAGTTCCAGAGAATGGCTAAAATAGCTTAAAAAAATAAAAGAAAAACAGAGAAAAAGAAGGAATTCAAGGACTGACAGAGTGAGAGTTGAGAATACATTAAGAGTAAAGAAAGGATTTGGTAAGATACCTCCATGAGAAAATAAGTAAACCGTCCTGGGTAAAGTTAGGGCACTTCATGTAGGGAAAGAGTCAAAGAGAAGACAGGAAAATGAGGAGGGAGTCAGAAGACCCTGAATATCAGTCATGAACTTTGAACTGTAGTTGACCATGGAACAACTTAGGGGTTAGAGGCACCAAGCCCCCTCACCATCGAAAATCCTCATACTGCTATCTCTGCCTCAAAAACAAAGGAACTGATAAATGACTTACCCAAGGGCAAGAAGCTGAAAGGGTTTGAACAGAATCAGGACTCAAACCCTAGTTCTTTTAATTCCACATATTATGATCTCTAATTGAACACAAACTTTTCCCCATACTTAGTTAACTTAAAGATCTGTACAATGAAAACACGGATACTATGTTTATTGGAAAAAAATCCACGTATAAGTGGACCTGGGCAGTTCAAACCCTGTGTTGTTCAAGGTTCAACTGTATATTCTGTAAGCAATGGGGAACAATTTTATATATCACTATTTACATAACAGCCAATTAGGCAACAACAAAGTATGTGATTCCCTAATGATACCTGAAGCAAGTCAACCTTGAACCTTAAATTTCTACAGGGCAATAGTCATGGTAAAAATATTCCGTACAGCACATTTTGAATTTGTAGGTACTTAACAAACATTTCTAATTTTGTACCTAACAGTTGTTCTTAATTTGCTTAAATCCTCTTCTGAAACCAAGTCTGTTTTATTGAGGATGATGATATCCGCCAAAGCAACTTGCCTAAAGTAGCAAACAAATAACAGATGTCAAGAGAAATGTTAAGACATTAAAAATAAATAAGAAACACCTCCTCAAGATCAATTAGCAGCTAAGAAGGATATAGTACTCTATGTAATGATTTAATTTACTCCTAAACTATTTATCATCCTTCAAACAGTAAGGATGAATTATATTCATCACTATATAACTCAGATTTCAAATTATTCATTCAAAAAATAAGTGCTCTTACTTGCTACTCTGAAACTACAAAGATAAGCCTCAAAAAGTTTACAATCAAGGATAGTTTACAATTAGGATGATTTTCAACTCATGATTTTCTTTGTAAAGAAATGCATAAAATTCCGATATCCAATGTGGTACGAACAAAGACACTCTACTTACAAAAATATTCCACGTAATAATTACCATAATTTTCAAAGAAATACAAAGAACAAGTTCACTTAACATTAATACTACATTGAACAGTTTTTTTAAAAAAACTACACTTGGATCTTGAACAATTATCTTCATCACTACGAATATTTATTTTCTCTGTAAAACAGATAAACTACAGAAATTCAAGTTAAAGAATCCAGTTGACACGATGCTGGATAACAAAATAGCTTACTATAATTAGAAACTCTATTTTCTATTAACAGGAGTAGTAAAGCTGAGTATTCTTTAAAATTTCCTCAATTCTTCAGGAAAGTTTAATCACTAGACTATTTGTTCCCAATACTGGTTTTATGCTACCTGAAGGTATAGCTAATTATTTCAAAGAACAACCAAATTCTCAAAAATAAATCAACTTCAGTTCACTGAAAAGCGGGTTTCAACAGTATGTACATCACAGTCCCATTTTTATTTAAGTAAATTTCATAAGAATAAAGATTGAATGTGCACATCTCAAAATATAGACAGCTGCAATCTTCAAATTGGAGGGCTCCTATATTTAACTTTTTTTTGGCTTTTGTAACATTTTGCTCTTTTCTATTTGGCTTATATTTTCTATAACAAACATTTTAATAAGGAAAAAGTTACAAAAATATTTAAGTTCAGTCTAATGTGAATCATAGCTAAATATCAAATGAAGTGTTCAGGCAGGATTACAAAACAACAGAGTACCATATTCTAAAATGATAGGGAATCAATCACCTCCTTGCAGTCTATTGTTTATGTCAAGATCATCTGTAGCAAATCTTGGAGTGGAGGGAGACCTCCCTTTCAAACCCAAGAGCGTATTTAGTGACTGTTGTCTATCCCAAAACTCTTTTCCCATTAGCAAGAATATGCTTAGGGTAGGCAAACCAATTTAAATATTCGTAAGTCTAAAGAGAACCCAATTAGGAACATACAGGTATTTAAACAAAAAATGTTCTAAATGCCAAATTGCAACTATTTCCATATTTATTCCTCTGTTGCTCTGAGTAACAGTGAACAGTTGAATCAACTGAATTACTGTTCAAGAAGACAGGAAGTGAATAAACTCTTTTTTTTTTTTTTTTTTTTTGCGGTACGTGGGCCTCTCACTGCTGTGGCCCGGACCGGGGCACGAACCTGCATCCCCTGCATCGGCAGGTGGACTCTCAACCACTGTGCCACCAGGGAAGCCCTCAGCTCTTTTTTAATAATCATTTTCAATCCCAAAGAAATTGTATGAGAACAAGAAAATATTTTTAAACGTGAACATCTTGCAAGTTCCTCACAAAAAACTCCTGTGCTCAGCACTCACTTTATGCTATAATATAGTTTTAAATAGAGAAAAGATCTTCCTTGACTATGTTTTTATGTTTCTCAGCTTGTTTTGTTTTTCGTATCAATCATTTTCTTTTTCCATTTAGCCAGTAATCAATATATACTTTAAATAAATGAATACCTAGAAGCTTCATTGATAAGGCCATCAGGTTTTTCTTCTGCTAAATGCTAAATAAAAACAAAGTTTGAACAAAAGTTACTGTGGTGTAACACATAACCTAATGTCAACACAAAGGATTTTACTTTAGGGACTCCTTGCTTGCCTCTAATAAAAACTTCAACAAGTTCTATTACTGAATACCCAAATTCAGGACTAACTTTTCTATCTGAACGCATTTTCCTCCTCATTTGTAATTTTTTCCCTACAGTGAACCTGTGAGGTGTGAGGGCTTAAACTTTGTCCCCTGACCTCTTTTTTTTCGTAAATGGAAAACCCTCCAGATTTAAATAATGTCATAAAAACACAGCACATTATAGTTCAGATTCTAGGCAATTTCCTTTTTACAAAACTGTCTTTGTTCTAAATATTCATTATTACTTATTTAAAAAAAGAGATAACCACTGAAATTGTACTTTTAAAAAGTCTACTAGACTTTCCTTCATCCTACCCCACCCCCCAGCACCCACCGCAGAACCATACACACTATGAACTCATACTGGGCCCTTCCAATTCCCTAGAAACAAATTAGCTGTGGGAAGGACACAGCCCTATACCCAGCATAAAGCAGGTTATCATTTTGAAACCCACACTTTAATGATTTGGCCTCTCTGGGCAACTGTTTAGTTTGCACCCTGCCAGAGTCAAGGTAGTGCCAAAAAATACTTTGGTGTTGTCTTAGAAGCCCACGAGGTCATTTTGATCTCTCTGGAAGTAGTTATTATTTTTCCATAATCTTATTTATATCCCTAAAGTCACCAGTGTCATAAGGTTCTTCTCTGAAAAATGTTCCATCTTCATTACCTTAACCCTCAATAGATGTTTCCTGTCACAATAAAAAGCTGCCTACTGATGTCAGAGGCAATTTGATTATATAATACTTTTTGTATTTGAATTGAACTCCACAAATTATTAAATTCTTTTACAAACATTATCTCATTTAGCCTTCATAACGATTATGGGAAATGGCTATTCTCAATTTATAAAAAAGAAGCTAAATCTAACACTGCCACCATCATGGGATACCTTACCATAGGGTGACTTTTCAAAAATGAAAATGGCCTCAATAGAAGGAAAATGAATATAATTTTAAAATCTTTGTGAAAGCTTTTTTTTTTTTTTTTTTGCAGTACGTGGGTCTCTCACTGTTGTGGCCTCTCCCGTTGCGGAGCAAAGGCTCCAGACACGCAGGCTCAGCAGCCATGGCTCACGGGCCCAGCCGCTCTGCGGCATGTGGGATCTTCCCGGACCAGGGCATGAACCCGTGTCCCCTGCATCGGCAGGCGGACTCTCAACCACTGCGCCACCAGGGAAGCCTGAGAGCTTTTTATGTCATATAAAATCAGTCTTGCAAACAGCGTTACACAAATGTTAATAACTGCATAAAAGTATATGTATAAAGATTACCTAAAAGTTATATTCAAAATTATTTCATCAAATCAGTTTTACAATTCATGAAGAGGTAGATCATTAAGGTATTTGGATAGTTTGGGACCTAAGAGCAAGTTGGTAATCATTTTATTTAATAGTCTTGGTAAAATCCATAGAGAAAACCTTTTTTCTTCTAAAAGTTTGCCAAATTTTATTTTTGGGGAAGCTAGCCTAAACTAAAACTAGAGTAATGATGTACTGATCTCCACTTTAGGTACAACCTTATAAATTCAACTGCAGACCCACTCTGAAATTATGGAAATCACAGAACTTGAAGAATATTGTATTAAAAATTGTTTCTTATCAAAAGACCAAGTTTACTATTTTTGCTAATTACTGTTGGCCTGAGGCTATAACAAATCCTTTCATTACATCCTCTAGAGAATAAGGGCTATTACCATCCCAGGAATAGTACCTGGCACCCAGGTTCAACAAATACTTATTGAATGAATTCTAGTTAACACCTCCTATTTGTTGACATAGATACATGGATGTTGTTATCTGAAAAGTTCTACATAATGTGCAGCAACAACTTCCCTTTCTTTTCAGCAGTAAATCTGTTTAGTAAAGATGGATTTTTAGCAAGGTATCTGTCTCTGAATGATCCTATACTATGGAAGTTCTTTTAAATTTTTGAAATATTTGCAAAATATTGTATTTTTGACCTTTTGGAAGATTTATTTATATATGAATTTGGGACTTTTTGGCTGTGAGCTGGAGGTGTATAAAAAGATATGGTAAGAAAATTAGAGATTTGTTTTTGAATATCCATACCTAAATGTAACTAATAAAATAGTATTAACATTTCACAAAGTAACTCATGTTTTTAATGCATCTAACCTAATCTCCAGAAGATTAGAAATTTTCACTCAAAGCTAACGGGGATGGACTAACATTTCATGACCTCTAGGAAGTCAAGAAGTATCAAATATAAAAACACGTTAAAAGTCCCCATAATAAAAACCTGCCAATAGGTACAACTCTATTAAGAACATGATATGTAATAAACATATAAAAAAGCAGAAGAGATAAATGTCCCTGGTTCTATGCACATATGAAGGCTATACAAACATAAACAAATAATAAATGCACACTAACATTTATTTTCTCTGGATATCAGCCCATTTCCCTTATGCAACTTCTTACCTTTCCAAATCAAACTTTGCAAAAAGACTAAAACCAATGTCTGCTATTCAAAAGGACATTCTCCAGTAGCACATGATACACCATTAGTCATTAAGTCAGATGACTCCCATTTACAAAGTGAAAAAATGGAAATTGTGACATTCTATTTTACCTGTACAGGCAATGAAGGAAAAATATTTTTCAAAATAGTGTGTGTGTGTGTGTGTGTGCGTGTGTGTGTGTGTGTGTGTATCCCCAACGGATTCCTCATCTCTGCTTAGAGACTGTGGCTTTTGCTTATATATCAAGAAAAAGACCAGAAAAATTTTGGTACTAATTAATCCAATGTATCAAAAAGCTTAAGGTTCCACCCTCTAACTTAGCACAGCATAAGAAAGAAAGGAATCCTTTGAAATAACACCATCGTATGACACAACTTCATTAAGGGCTTTTCTGCAGAAACAGAAACAAGCTGGAAAGAAAGAAAGAAAGGAAGAAAGAAAGAAAGAAAGAAAGAAAAGAAAGAAAGAAAGAAGGAAAGAAAGAAAGAAAGAAAGAAAGAAAGAAAGAAAGAAAGAAAGAAAAAAACACTGTTGTTGACCAAAGTGGAAAGAAATCTAGTGTCAAAGATGTCAGTGACATTTTAAAAAAAAGCAGCAGCAGCTATTTCTTTCCAATGGATTGGTTATAGATCTAACACTATTTTAGCTTTTAAGAAAAGATTATTGCATAATGTCAGTCTATTTATTTTCTTGTCTTTTCCAAGCCAAACTGTTTTCTGACTGAATTGTTTCAACAGCTTGTGCAATATAACAGAAGAACCAAAAAGAAACCTCTGACTTGACCTTTTCTGTGTAACTTCATTCATTGATTCTATTGCATTAAATGCTGTCACTTTTGTAGAACTGAAAAGGACAATGTCAGTAGCCTGGGTGTCAAGTCCTGAGATTAGAGAGCTGTCATTTGAAGTTGTCCAATTATTTGCCCATGATTAAAAAATGAATATTTCAGATCAATGGGTGACAATCCCATTAGAGTGATAGCCCATGATATCAATTACCACTTCAGTTTCAATTTGGCTGGCTGGCCACAAGGTACCATTTCTCAGCTTTACTTCTGATGGGCTGGCTCTGTGAAGCATGACACCCTTAAATTGCTGCCCATTATCCAAGTGTCATTACTTGTACTGCCTCAGAATTCTCTGAATCACAAGCAGCTACTGAGGTCAAGCTTTGCAACCAGAGGAATTAGACAAGTTGGCAAATCCTTTATATAAAGGAAAAGTTATTTATTTGGCACCTGACTTAGAAAATCTAAAGTTTCCATTATCCTGACAGTATGTCAGTTTTGTGTAGGTATATTGATTTAATAATTTAAGATGTTTTATCAAGGTGGGAGGGGGTTAAACGTTTGCTGTGTCTGCATTATTCAGAATGTTGGTTTGGGGTTTTTTTGGCCTCTATCACACTCATGGTAGATTCTATTTAACTCCTTTCCACATCCAAATATACATATAAAATTATTCCCATAATCATAAATACATAGAGTTTGATTTTGGGTCTGGTACTGTAAGTCTATCAAAAAAAAAGATCCTACTATCCATCCTGAAGATATCCCAAATTTGGCAATAAATCTATATAGGAGATGGATTCAAACATGCCCTTTAATAAACATTCAGAGTAGAGAATTTGACTTTTTTTTTTTTGCTTCCTCTGTAAACATTTTGCTAGAAATATCATGATTTCAGAACAGTTGGAATATTTCTGAGTAAAAACTGTAACATCTGGGGTCTTTCTTTGGTTCTTAAGACTATTAATAAATTTTGACTTAAAAATCTAAAAAGGAATCATCTCCCAAACTTCTCAAATTAGGGTGCTCTATCCCTGAGGCAACTGAAGGGCCAATGAAGGGGTATTGGTAAACATCTGACAAGCTTGCCATACTAATTAAAGGTTTGGAAGAAAAACAAACTGGTTCAAATTAAGAAATTCAGATATATTGTCGGGTAGAATACAAAATGGACATGAGTTTTTAAACATTAAATTTAAACTTCTAAGAAATGATTACTTTGGGCACTATTCATATCGCCAGACTGGGTCAGGAGATGGGGGATAATTTCACTCTTCTGCCTCTAGTAATTTTTCACTTGGAAAGTTGAGAAACACCACTTTACCTTATGCGGCAACATGCATTTTAAAATCTTACTAAGTGCATTTTGTGAACTGAAATTCATTTAAATGCATTTCAGGACCTTGCTAGTCGCAAAACATTCACAGCAAGATGCCTTTTAAAGGAGAGTTTCTCCTCCCTAAACCTAGGCATAAATCCTGATTTCTTCAAAATATGGGAAAGCAATATATTTTTAAAAAACTCAATCATCTGCGGCTTGTGTCTGACAGCAGTTTAACAAGAAAAATAAGCTCTCATATGCTTTATCAAGCTCAATTTCCTCTATCAAACAGAAAAACTTATCAACATTGGGGCTGAATCCTAGTGAGGGGTTACACATACCCAAACTTTATCCTGTATTACCCTTATTACAAAATATTACACTTCAAACTTTTATCACATCAAGCCAGAGAAGCAGAAAATAAACATTTAACTTAGAAACACAAAATAATAATTAAAAGACACACACAAATTTCATCTATTGTTCAGGATACTTTAAAAAAAAAACTTTTTTTTTTTTTTACCATAAGTATTTGCTTTATTATTCTTCATGCTTTTTAAACTTCCAAAATATGATATATTAAATTAAAAATGTAACTCACTGGCTTAAGACACACAGTTTCTGATAATATTACTGCCACTTTAAAAAGTACTATCTTTTATATTTACAGTAGAAAAATATTTTTGTTAAGGATATTTCAAACAGACACAAACATAGAAAAACTAATATAATCAATCCCCATATAACCAGCTCTTAACAATTAGTAACTCATAGCAATCTTTCAACTTACATTTAATCCATATTTTGAATCCACAACAGTTATGATACCTACAAAGGAATAAATCTTTTAATCATCTTTATATTTAAGAATTAAAACTAGTCTATTTCAGTTCACAAATGTCACTCAATAAAATACTGTTTTTTTTCTCTTGCCAGCACAGCAATTTAATTCAATTCCATTAGTAAGCAGATGCATTTCAAACATGAACCTAGCACTATTTTAAGGCACTAGATGGGACATAATAAAAACAAATATTTAAAATTAAACAAACAAATAAAAAGGAAAATAAGATTTCTCTGGCCTTTAAAAAGCTTACAATCCAAAACATGAGACAAATTTCATAATATAAAGTGGAATGTGATAAATTACACAAGACAGCTTATCTTTATTTTCACATAATCAAAATCGAGACTTTTCTTATTTAAATTATTGCTTAACAAATCTGAGGCATCTTAGAATATCTCTCACCAATCTAACTCACACAACTGTTTTATCTGAGGTGTACCTAAGTTTCCAAATGATCAATTCGTTTGGCAATCTCTGAATTTATATGCTAAATAATTTTTTCGAAGGACAACAGCAGAATGAGTTTGATGACGCCGAAGGAATTTAACCAGCTACATTCCATATATATTAAGGCAAAATGATGAGGCCCAGCTTCAAACATTCTTAAAGTTCACCCCTTAGTCTATGAAAAATATGGTCTACAGAAAGGTGAAGAATCAGGTGTGGGGTGTTGCAGGGAACATATTTGCCTAATCCAGAAGGTTTCTAATGTGTCTTAAATGAAGTCTACGAATAAGATTGCCCAAAAGTGTTATGGTAAAGAGAGCAAGGGGTAGGGGGCTTTGTTTCATTCTTATTTTTAATGGAAAATGAAAGCAGAAATTTGATCCTCATACTATATATGTTATTTAAAATAAAAAGCTCTAATATATACTAAGCACATAAATTAAACAACAGGGAATATAGAAAATCTACATAGTATTTTAAAAGGAAAACCTTAATGGAAGCACTAAACTGGTAGTTGAGATTATGATTGATATCTAGTTCTACTACTGTCTGGGGCTTTAGAATCAGTATGAACAAAGACTTATTTCATCATCAAACTAAACAAGCTTAAAAAGAGTACCAATACAAGGAATTAAAAGTATAATATGAATAAACAAAAATGATCTTAACCATAACATTAACATTTTACTTGAAAATTTTTTTAAAAATTCATTTCTAAACTTACCATCAAGATAAATATCAACCCCTAATTCAGCATCAACCCAAAACATAGAAGCTACAGCACCTGAAAATATATGATAATATTCATCAAATAAAAATATTTCTTCAAACTAGGAAACAAAATTCTATCCATAATGTTTTAATTTGCCCCAATGGAATTAGCAGGCAAACACATATATGAATTAAATATGGGTTTTCAATCTTCTTAAGGAAATTACAGTGATAGAACCATTTACTATTTTATACTCATTTCTTCCCCTCTCTCTACTTCAATAAACAAACAAAAAAAACAACTCTTATTACATACAAACCCAATATCAAGCTTTCACCAATGCCATAATAATTTACCAATAAATAATATCAAATAATTTGGGCAGAATGGCTATGTGCACACAGGTCTTATTTTTATTTTCTCCCTCCTGAATATAATAATCATACAGTTCACAAATAATTATCTCCCTAAAGTAAAGCAAAGCAAAACATAGATAAATCCAAAATCACTTGTCCAAAAATTTTTTTAATTTTTAAAAATTTACTTGTAAGTTTTACAGAAGAATAAAAGTGAAATTATACACTCTATGTCCTTACTAATAAATCCTTACACTATTTATTAGTACTGATATAAAATTTGGAAATTTTTTTTAACTGAGGAAAAATAATTTCTAAATAAGAAATTAAAACTTGTTTTTGACAAAAACTGGTTCAATACCAAACCACACACCCTGATTAGTATGCCACAACACAAGAAAAAAGAAAACTGACAGTAAAGAAAGAATTTGATTTTTCAAAGCATCACAGGTCCAGTTAGTGACAGAGCTGTCTAAAAGGATGAGTCCTGGGGAAAAACAAGGATAACTGAACTCATTCCAATGTCTAAAGCTGTCCACCTACCCTGATGAGATGTGGTCTCCCAAGCATCACTCTGTGTCAACAATGAAATACCTGTCAGCAGTTTACAGTGATTACTCATGCAGGATATAGCAAGGGCCACAAGATCTAATGGTTTCCTGATATGTATTGATTTTTTCCAAAAACTTAATAGTTTTCCAATTTGACTGAAATAGGATTTGTGAGTAACAGGGGCTGAATCAATGCCTGTCCTTTTCAAGGAAATTACTTTACCATGACAATTATTTAGCTTAGAACTGGAGAGTGTCAGTCTTCTAAACAGGAAACAACTGAATTGTCAATAAGAATTTTCTTCACTTACTTGGCTAACAACATGATTTTAATTAATGGAGAAAAGTAAATCTATTGTGAGTATCATTACTCCAAACAATAAATTATTTTTAAAAAGTATTAATTTTTTTCACTCAGTAAAATTCCCAGCACTGTACATAAATCTTTTTTTTAATTCATTGATTTCTATTCGGAGAGCTTGTAAGTCCGATAGTTAACATTTGCCTAGCATTAAGTTGAACTGTAAGAGTGTATTAGAGCTTTTATTCTAAATCTGATGTGTATCTTTGGCTTAATACTTACTTACCAGACTACAAAAGAAAGAACTACTTAAAATTTGGATGCAGGTGTTTAACAGGGGGAGTAAAGATGAGAGAATGAAGTTAATTAGTGATTCTAAACCCAGGGTAATTTTTCTCCCCAGGGAATATTTGGCAATGCCTGGAGAAATTTTTGGTCATCTAAACTACACGAATGCTACTGGCATCTAGTAGGTAGAAGCCAGGGATTCTCTTAAACATCCTACAATACACAAGACGGCCTCCTAAAATAAAGAATTATTCAACCCAAAATGTCATTTGTACCAAGGTTAAAAAACCCTGAGCTAAATTATAGAATCTCCCTTCTTCAAAACCTAACAAAACAAAAAATAAAAATAAACAAAATAAAATTTTGAAAGCCAAATTTTATCAGCAGCAACCAAATATACAACTTCCTGCCATAATTTCTGAATGATAGTAAAAATAAAAAACACAAAGTTCTATGTGATGTATGACAGTTGTTAATTCTACCCCAATACTCAACAAGAGGTTATAGATAAGTAGTTTACAAAATCCTAATACTTATCAGAAATAGCTTTCAAAATGGTGAGAAGTAGAACTGAGGGAGAAATAAGCAATACAGGAGAAAGCCAACAAAGAAACTTCAAGGGTAAAATTTTCTAACCATCTCCACACTTTCAGGGGAGGGGGTCACTTTCTAGGGCTCAGAGCAAAATGAAGAGAGAAGTATGAAGCTCAAGGATGTCCCTGCAAAAGGTACGGGAAATCTATTCATGAGTAGTTTGAGCTAATACAGGAGGGGAACACTTGGTATTGTAGGAGAGCAGAGCCTAAAAATCATATTGCCCATCTGGCTCTCTCAATCACTTCATTTCTCTCTGCTTCCCCATCCCCGCTCCCAGCTATACCCAGCTTTCAAACTAAGGCTCAAGAGAAAAACAAGTTTAGGTAACATGGGTAGGGTATTTAAAAAATTCATGAACACCACATCTAAGTAGACAGTTCTCTGAGCCTCCTACATCAAGCATAAACATGGTGAAAAAACTATGCACGTTACTACAGATTAAAAGAAGCAAAAAGCAGATAAAAGGAGGGATAGAATAAAATGAACAAATGAATGGGGAATACAGATGGCAAAGAACCTGTTCCGGAAGGAAACATAATTGAAGAAACCAAAGAAAATTCCTAAGGGCTTCTTTATAATAAGAAAGATAAAAACAATATAATCTTAATTAAAAACAAGCTCTAGGGAATTCCATAGCAGTCCAGTGGTTAGGACTTGGCGCTTTCACTGCTGTGGCCCAGGTTCAATCCCTGGTCAGGGAACTAAGATCCCGCACGACGTGGCCAATAAATAAATAAAAATTTTTTAAAAAGATGAAAAAGAAACAAGTAAAACTATTTTTTTTAAAAAAGGAAAGAGCTTAAAAAAAAGTCTCCAAAGCAAAATAAAACAGAATAATATGAAAAGGTAGTTTATAATGCTGAAGAAATAAAACTTAGGGCCAATGTACCATTACTTAATCAATTAATTCATTTAAAACATCAACAGACATTGGTGGAAACAATTACGGGCAAAAAGGAAGATTTGAGATGATTACAGTAAATGCAGAGGCAAAAGACATATCAAAACAATTAGAAGATAATAAATATGGAGAACAAAAGAAAATTCAATATATGAAAAATTCATGTCATAAAGAAGAGAACCCAACAATTTGACAGAAAAATTCTTCATGGTAATAAATAAGGAAAATATCCCTAAATGAAGCACTAACCCTACAGACTAAAGAGTATATTGTAATCCAGGAAAACATGATTATGAATGACACCTAGATGTATCTTGGTTATATTACTGAACTTTAAAAATAAAGAAAATTTTTTTCAGGCATTTTAGATGAAAAAGCAAGTCAATTTCAAGGAGGCAGGAAAAAAATCAGATTTTTCTATAGTAAAATTCATTGCTCCAATATAATAAAATGCCCACAAAGTTCTAACAAAGGTGTTCTCTGAGGATATTACCTCCTGCCAAGTTGTTTTTCAAGAATGAAAACCACAGGCAGACATTCTCAAACACTAAAGGAAACAACAGCATTGAAACTCAAAGAATAAAGCACTCAACAAATCCTTCCCGATGAAAAGAGAAAAATACTGCACAAGGAAATCCAGCCAATCAAAAGTACTATGAAATCATAATGCAACATTTTCAAAGTTCTGAAGGAAAGAAATTGTGATACGAAAATTTTATACCTAGCCAAGTAATCCTTCAAGTATAAAAAAAAAAAAAAGACAAGCATTCTCAAGCAATGAAGTATGCGAGATCTAAAGGAATACAGCACTGAAAGCTTGAAAAGATTACCTGACCGTTGATCAAGAGATTGATCAACTCAGGAATGGAGGAGCCATAGTGCTGGTAAAACAGTTTAAACACAGGACTAAACAAAGTATGACAGAATATAAATGTAGAAACCTTGACAACATAGCAAAGAATACAATGAACCAAAACCAAATGGGAGAAGGCGGAAGTGTTTTAATTCCCTCATCCTTTATGCCAGAGAGTCAATAGGTACTACCCTGAAAATTTAAACACGTAATTTAAAAAATAACTTGTCCAATTTACGTTCTTTATAATTTTTTTTCCTTAACTCATATCTCTTACAGTGAAGAAGCATTTACCTGACATTCAGCAATTCTTTCACTTCTTTCAAGTTCTCTTCTTTTAGGTTCAAGTAGAACTACATTAATAATTATTTAGAATAGCACAAAGAATGTGATCCTATTTTATAAAATTACTTCTGCATATTTACACATGGAGTGGGGTTTCCCAAACTTATGCATGTGTAAGAATCACCTGGGGGGCTTATTAAAACAGATTGCTGGGTCCCACCCTTAGAGATTCTGATTCCATAGATCTCAGATGAGGCCCAAGAATCCGTATTTTTCCCAAGCTACCAGCTGAGGCTGATGCTGTCATTCAACATACCACAGCAAGTAGCCCTGGCACGGAGAAATCCTTGGAATAAAATTTACCTGCTTGTATTTTACAGTAGTGAGATATAGGACAACATTTTTTTTAACTTTCTTCTTTGTATTTTCTTAGTTACTGTTTAAATTTTTTTTAATGATCAATGTTTCATTTCTACCCAAACAACAAAAATCATTATTCTAAAGAAAGAAGAAACATCAAACTGTTTATACCTACAAAAGCTTTTTGTACAAAAGCTTTCTCTGAGATTTTTATTTAATTTTTACTTCCTCTGAAAAGCTACACTGTGTTTTAGTAAATTCACCTACTCTCATAATTACAAGAATTTTTCTCTATGCAGTGGCTACAATGAAAGAAACTGATATTTTCTCTTTCAAAAAGAGGCACACAATATACTTTCCCATCTTACCAGATTTAAATTAATATTTAACATCAATGTAGTGGTCCAAGTCCTATCATCAGTCAGACCTCTTGGAAATGTATGAAAATATATGAAAAATTCATGCCTACTGTAAGGACCAAAAGAGCCTAACTCAATCCTAATCTGAAAACATAGGGACAATGTTATTACGTAATACTTCAAAATAAAGTAACAACTGATTACATTTGAACCTTCAGTACACTCCAATATTTCTTTTAAACAATTATGACCCCTTCAATAAATTATTCCCAAACAGTTCTTTAATACGGTTTTATGGTGCAATGCCATAGACCCAGATCAAAAAACAAATAATGGTATGGGTCAGCCTTACAAAACTAAATGTTCTGCATACTTGGAATAAAGATGTTAAGGAACAGAAACCCATTGTTAGAAACAGGTAGACTTTGTGTAGCTTTCAACAGGGAAGTTTGGATGTAATTCCATTCAGAGGTAAAAATTTCATAATCATTATTAATTGCACACCAGAAAAAAAGGCTTGATTTAACTCTCTACCTTATGACAATATTTACAAATAAAATTATTTCAAGTTTAATAGTAGAAAAACAAAATGCTAACAATTAATTTAAAGGGAATAAGTATTTCTGGGATTTAACTCCAAAAGCCCTTAGATATCTCTAAATGACCCTCTATGAAAACTGGATTAAAAAGCAATCAGGGGCTTCCCTGGTGGTGCAGTGGTTGAGAGTCCGCCTGCCAATGCAGGGGACACGGGTTCGTGCCCCGGTCCGGGAAGATCCCACATGCTGCAGAGCGGCTGGGCCCGTAAGCCATGGCCACTGAGCCTGCGCGTGCGGAGCCTGTGCTCCGCAACGGGAGAGGCCACGACAGTGAGAGGCCCACGTACAGAAAAAAAAAAAAAAAAAAAAAGCAATCAGAATTAAGATCTCTGTAGAGCAGAACCAACCAAATATATACTAGAGGTAGAATGTCTCCTTTTTCCCTACATTTTATTAGATTTTCCTAATATTTTTAACAACTTTTGTTCATGCCAATAACCCTAAATTAATCGATAGAACTTCAAATTTTATTAGCATGTTAAAATTACCAAACACTTTGATCATCATTCATCTGCCAAAGAAACATGACAACTCAGTATTTTTTCTCCTTTAAAGCAAAATAACAAATTTTTAATCTAGAGTAAAGCTTTAATACTCATTTTAGATATTCCTCTAGTCCATTTATTTTTAAATGTTTAAGAAGTATATTCTGGTTATTAATAATGACATTTCTTACCAGGATCTGCTAATCCAGTGGTCTCTAACAGTATGTAATCAAATTTCCCTTTCTTCTGCATCAAATTCTCAATAGCTTTAAGGCCACTGTCCCTGGAGAATGCCAAAACATGATATACATTGATTGCCTGAATATTTTAAAGTGATCATCACAAACATTTAAAAATATATTTAGCAACCAGGGATAAAGATCTCTTTAGGCATGTGGAAATTTACCTCAGTCCCAAGCTTCTAACATGTCCATCCAGTATTTACCAGTTTGGGGGAGGGGAGGGTAATGGATGCATATATGCTGACAGGTAACAAGAAGTCAGATACTTGATGAGTTAATACTTTAATTTTATTAAAATTAAAAGCAGAGGAAATTTTAATATACCTGACTAAAGTAAGTCAGAACCTGTTATTTTTATAGCTTTATGAAAGAAAAAAATCCATACAGAAAACGACAAAATTTAGGAATTACAGTAGCTTAATACAACAGCTAAAGGGACACTATAATTAAATACCTTTCAATTCTGTTCTGAATTAGAGTAGCAGGCTTTAATTTCCTTTTTTTCTTAATAATATCAAAAGTGCAAGAAAATATTTAATTTTAATTGTCTAAGAAAATCTGTTAAGTTTTAGCCTTGTTAATACACTTGACTCAAACACCTAAGATAGTAAATGATGTAGAAGAAATTTAATTCACTAGAATATACAAAATCAACCATATGGGTATTAATTTTCCTAATTTGCTCAACAAACATTTGAGTGACTACTATGTGTCAACTCCTTTTCTAAGAGCTGTTATATTGGTGAATAAAACACTGTCCTTGGAAACAACTATAACTGGTGGAACAGGATGTGAGGTTTTTCTCTTTTTTCATGGTCATTTATTTTTGTTTTTAGAGGTTGAATTCTTGGAAATAAGACCAATGACTTATTAAATTCAGAATCATTTTTTACACATTAAATGAGACTTTCATTCATCACAGGGATTATTAATTAAACCCTGACATCAAAAACAACAACAAAAAACTCAATAAAAGGACCACAGCATTAGAGCAGATAGAAAAACAAGGCATCAAGAAATGCTTTAAGAAAATGCATACTAATAAGTCGTTTACTTGAGAATACAGTGAAGAAGATTATGTAGCTTCAGTTAATTTACATAAGGAAATCAAAGCTAGAAATATAACCAATAAACATTTCCAGAAGCCAACAAGCACACAGTAAAAACATTCCTCACTTTACGGAACAGCAGAGGCAACCGTTTCTAAGTTCCAGCCATTCTTCGTAGAGTTCTCCACCTTGGCTGACAGCTAAGGATTTCTCCAATGCACTTCCTAGAATAATTAACAAGAAGCACTCTTTAGATTATGTCCACTAGTCAACCAAAAACAAAGATGAATATACTCAATAATGGAGCAGATTTCAAAGCAGACAATACATTTTGTAACTTTTATTCTTTCATTCTATTCAGGCTGCCTCAATATTTTAAACTATACTACTCTAGATTATTTTAGCTTTTCTTTCTTTTAGAGAATTTAAACCCCTAAAGAGGCAAATGTAAAATCTACTTCCTCTTTAGGCCTCTTACTAGCCTGCTCCCATTTCCTAATAAAGTAGCTATTTTAAAGGTGTTCTTTCTTGTCCACGGCCAACTCTCTAGATAGACCAGTATGTTTATATATTGGTTTTTATATGCCCTTCAATCTCTTACCTATGTTTTCTTTTCATTCTTCCTCTAAATTGTTTCTGTGTCTACTAGACAGACTGTTCAGTATTCCCCATATGAGTTATACCCTTAGTTCATTTTGAGGAAATTTTGCTTGGCCAGGGTAACAATGTGCTCACTTAAAAATTAAATTTTAATCAAATACACATACGTTTCCTAGCAATGCTTACTTGAGAAAGGATAAAGTATATTTGAGAGCCTGAGATGCTTGTTATCAAATAAGAATTATTTAAAAGTCTTACTTTTCCTCCAGTAAAGAAACATACCCAAGCCAGGAAAGAGTTCTAAATATCCAGTAAAGCAAATGACCACCAACAACAACAAAAACCTGAATAATTTTTCACATATATTTTTTGTTTATACTTCAGTTAGGCAATGATAAAGAGTTTTGAAAGGGGCTGCTACAGAATTCAGGGTGTAGAGAACGTTAATAAAATGAAAAGGAAAGTATTACAAATGCTGTAAAGGACAAAGTTGTGAAAAAGGTCCAGAAAGAGTGAAGAAAGATAGTAAGAAATAATAATAAATGTAATCAGTGTCCAACAGAAGATCAGTTAATAAGAAGTTAGAATGAAAAACTATGATTAAAAAAATCTTAGGATTTTTATTTTTGTCTAACAAGACTCTTTAGTTTACTGAAACTATCTTCAGTTTACTAAAACCAGAAATAAAGTTCAACTAACAGGCCTCCCATCCTGTTAATAATCCTAGCTCCTTTACCAATTTGTAACTGAAAAAAAAGTATAATTTAAGAAATACCCTAACTGAAGTTATATTTTTTGGCTAAACATGAGATTTATTAAAATTCACACTTGAGAAGAAAAGCTTATAAAAGAAATCAGAGAATTGTGTCTAACACTGCTGTATACATTTTTTTTAAACACAGTTCAATATTAAAGACAAAAAAACTGGAATGTTAAATATACACATTTTCACAGATAAAGGAAGTTGCTTGAGGATGGAGACCACATGTTTAACTTATTTTTTAAATCTTCTGTTTTAACTGTTTTACAGAATAATAAACGTTCAACAAGATAAACTTATAAGCCTGAAGCATTTTCAAATATATTTCAAAAGTTGCAATTATACAATACAGTCAGTACAAAAGGACCTTCCTAGTTGGTACAAAAATCTTCCTGAAAGATGTTCTTTCATATCCTTAGATTTTTATTTCTGGAGATATTTATTTTATGCAAAAATCTAATTTAATTCTGTTGGTATGAATTCTAAAGTTAAACAAAATAAAATTTTAAAGAAATTATCTTATTTCAGTATCTCGAATCCATACAAAATAAAGCTTAACATAAATGAATCTAATTTTTCCAAAACTATCTACAGCAATGTGTTCACATTATCATGTCTCGCCTTTTCATTTTAAAATATGGAATATCAATTCACCAGTTGAATTAACTGTCCAATAAATTCTTGCAGCATGGCATTTACTGAACTTTACTTACCTTCCCCGAATTCATTTAAAATCACTGCTATTCTTTTACTATGTTGCTCTGTCAGAATATAGTTCAGAAGTGTTGTCTTCCCAGCACCTATAAAATATGTTTTAAATAACAAAATTCAAAGACTAATTTTAGAGACACAAAAAAAGATATAAAGGGACTTCCCTGGTGGACCAGTGGTAAAGAATCCGCCTTACAATGCAGGGGACGCAGGTTTGATCCCTGGTCAGGGAACTGACCCATATGCCGCGGGGCAACTAAGCCCGAGTGCCACAACTACTGAGCTTGCGGGCCTCAACTAGAGAGCCTGCGTGCTGCAAACTACAGAGCCCACGCGCCCTGGAGGCCGCGTGCCACAACCAGAGAGAGAAAACCCGCACACCACAACTAGAGAGAAGCCCGAGCGCTGCAACGAAGAGCCCATGCACCGCAAAGAAAGATCCCGCGTGCCTCAACAAAGATCCCACATGCCACAACTAAGACCCGATGCAGCCAAAATAAATTAATAAAGTCTTAAAAAAAAAGATATAAAGAGTCCTAACACTCTTTAAAATTTGCATGCTATTCAAATATTATTTAACAATGGTAAAAGAAGATTCTAGAGGAAAAGATTAAAGTATCCTTTGAAAGCTATTAAAAATGCTTTATGCTAACATAAAATTTTATAAATATTTACAAATACTCCAACAAGGTGCGTCACATAGATTTCTTTGACCTCATATGACAAAAAAATATACCTTCTATATAACTTACACAATTAATGTAAGGGCATCTAAATTTTCTATTAAATAAGGAATTATTGAAGTAAGGGCTCCTAAGGAATAAAGTATTTGTGTAGTTTATAAAACATAAAATATTTAAATCCCTTCACACGATGACAATGTTTCTTAGTCAAGAATATACGGTTTACTTCCCCAGAATTTACACATAAAGACCTTTCTTTTATTTTAACATTCACCATTAACCAGACACAAATTCAGAATATCTATATGGCTACTTTTAGTATGCTTAAAGCAATCTATAAAATTGATTACACACACACACACACACAAAATGGAGAATGGATCTAGGAAATGTTAACAAAAGACACAATAATCAGTATTAGGAAAGAAAAGTTCATAAAGCTATGCTAACTCTATCCAGTAGGTGGCATATTACACCTAATACATTCAGCTCAAGCAGAAGAAAAACTTGTCTTGTGAACCATACATACCAAAGTCCATGCAGGGGAAAACAAACAAACAAAAAAACCCTAACTGCATGCACATACTAGTGCAGTTCAACTGTATAAATATGTCATTTATTTACCTATTTTTCTGCTGGTGCGCATTTGGGTTGTTTCTAGTGTTTTGCTATTACAAATAATGGTGCTAAGAACTTTTACAGGTAAGCTTGTACACATCTTCTGAAGTACATTTACAAGATTTCTAGGGTAAAACTAGGAGGGATTTCCTGAGTAATAAGGTATTAATATCTTCAACTTTTTTGGGTCACATTCGTATAAAGCTATCAAAGGGATGGAAGGCTTGTATTTAGCGGGCTTTAGGAAGCTCAGTATCACTAAAGGTTGACATTTAGAATGGAAGGGACAGACCTTAAGGACACAGGGCAATGAGAAAATTCTTAAAACCAGTCCAAGTGTGAGACAGGTGCCCTGAGCATGAGTGCTGCACTAAGCAGTGGCAGTGAAAATGGAAAGGAAGGGGTGGATGTAGGAGACCTAACAGAATTACTACAGCTTCATAATTAACCATATTATGAAGCAAAAGACCTTAAGACACAGTTCCGTCACTCAAAAGTCTCCTATGGACCAGATTTTATACTGAGCCTTGGTGAAAAGTGCACAAGACACAGACAAACTCTCTCTACCTTCAGGAAGCTTAGAAACATTAAAGGAAGTGGGAGAAGGAGGGGAATTCAGAGCAATAAAGAAGCAATTATGTCATGGGATGACACCTTCAATAGATATACAAGATGTCAGGGAGCACCTAAGAGGGACATCTAGCCAGAGGACTAACAGAAGAAAGTATTCCTGGGGCCAAGACACTTGGCACATTGTAGAAGTAAAAGTCGTTCAGTGTGGCTGGGCCACAGTTTCGCAGGCTAAAGAGGTGGTCAAGAACCAGATTGTAAAGCTCTTGTAATTCATGTTAAGGAATTTGAACTTTAACCCAAATAGAAACCACTGAAGGGTGTGACAAAATTGATTGACATTCATAAAGATCATTAAGGCTCAAATACAGAGAATATATTAAAGGGCAGCATGACTCAAGACCAGTTAGGAAGCTTTTAGAGTATTCCAGATGGTTGGGCTCACAGAAGCAACCATCATTCATGATGGGATGGTAACATGAAGTTTTAGACATGCTGAGTTTGCCATGTCTGTGGGACATCAAAATAGAAACCAGCTGGGTATGAAGTTAAAAGGATGGACAGAGAGGGGAAAAAATAAACTTTAAAGGAGAAGCCAGAGAAGTAGGTGGAAAATCTGATGAAAAATGTGATGGAAACCAAGGGAACAAGAGTTCAAGAAAGAGAAAATGGTCAAGAATAAGTAAGGAAACTATCCCCTAGATTCAGCAACAAAGTTGCTGGCATTAGTCCTCACTCCTAAGCTTCAGACCATTATCTCCAATGCTCTTCTGATCTACCAGTGAGCAAAATGGGGAAAGACAGGAGGGCAAGTCTAAACTATACTGTTTCAGAAAAGAAATCTGCTCAACTTCGCAGTAGAGCAGCCTCTGAATAACAGTGGGAAATTCCTTTATTAATAAATAAACTCCTTTATAAAATTAATCCTGAGTAAAAATGAAAATAAACTTAGTCTACAAAGCAACAAAAGAGAAATGCCAGTGATTTAATTCCTATTTTTATATAAAAGGCCCTCAGGTGCACCAAGTTTGTACTTGTCTGCAGCAGCATCTAGAAGTGGTACTATTTTCCCCAGATCGTTTCACTTTATCTACATTTCTTAACTTTTCCCACACTTTTAATATGGTATTTATTCTAGCCCTTCTAGTTAACTGTAAAGTTTTAAAATAATACTTCTCAAACTTTTCCAGTAAAGTACCTCTAGTGTAAGGGCATAAACTGTCCTTCAGGAAATTGTACTATGTTTATAAAGCTATGAATTCAAGTGATCCCATGAACTCCTGAAGGTCCTCACTTTGAGAAATATAGCCTTTGAGGGCACAGTAATTTTATTCTTACTCTTTCTCCTACAGTACTTTACAAATAGACCTCAAAAAAAAAAAGTTTGAGATAGGAGTACTTTACACGAAAGGCTGGAAGAGACTGGCTCATGAGGAAGAGAAATATACTGAGGAATGGTCCTCCGGTGTCGGGCATTTTCAGAAAGGTCATACTTTAATTGGAACAGAGTTATACGGTAGGTATTTCTTGCCCCACTAAGCAGAAGAGAAAAGCAAAGTCAGACGGCTGACTGGAACTATTTCCGTTTTCAAGTGAGGCAGGTGAACTTTAGAAATACAAGGTAACTTGTTAGAGGTCACATGCATAATGAGGGGTGGGTCCGTGCTTCACACTGCAAAGCCAGAACTAGTTTCAAAAATGCGAGGCGAGGCTAATTTTCAATCTCACTTGATAAATGTGACCCTAACTTAGAGGGGTCTGAGCATAACCTCTGAGATGAAAAGCAACCCAGTCGGAGAGCAAGTGACCCAGCCCCCACCTCAGAGACATTTGCTGTCGGCCAGAAGGCCCCGATGCCTAAGGAGAACAGGTACCGTCAGCCTCAAACTCACAGGACAACAGCGTTCACTGCATTTTCTGACCGGGACTGCTAGTTACCTAAATACCCGGTGATAATTGTGACTGGGATCTTAGCGCCGGGACGAGACGTTTCCTCCTTCTCCCCTCTTTGCTTCGTCTTAATGGGGACCAATTCAGGACAATCCTCCTCCGCCTGCTCCTCTTCCCCATCCGCAGAGCCAATAGCATGAAACATCCTGGCAAACAGCACAGCACACCTCTACCTAAGAGAAACACCTGGAATCAAGACGCCGGCCCGCAGCTGCGCATGGTAAGCGCGCGGCGCGTGCTTGACGTCATCATGCCGCGACGCGTGGCGCCTCCTGATGCCGCCCACGGTTATCACCTGGTCTCCGGCTGAGGACCGCCTCCCCTCTTAGACACGCCCCCAGGGGAACTGGGCAGGTCCCTGGGGCGCGTTCTCTGAACCGCACCCGAGCGAGGCGGACTTGTTGGGCCCAGACCTGACGTCGTCTCTGTGTGCGCCTTTATCCTTAAAAGCTAATGGCTGGTTGATGGTAGAGTTGAGTCACGGGTGGTTGGAACCTGGAGTGAGTAGCCTGTCCTAAACAGCTCTCATGAGGAATAGGCTTTATCAACTTGACATTTCTTAGTATCATTAAATTTTTTTTTTAATTCATAGGAGAAAGAATGGGAAGCTGTTAACACTGCAAAGGTAATTGTAATTTTTCTGCCTGAACTAGTGAAACTTTTTTCTTTTTATAATTGCAGATTTTACATGTATATCCAAATTTTTACTACGTACATGCATTATTTTTATTTATTTTGTCTTCTCATTTTTTTATTTGGACTCAGGTACCCTGAGTTCATTTATTATATTCTTTAGTGCATGACACTCTCATCAATAATCCATGGATAGTCTGGACAAAGAATGTCACCTGCCATATCAGTAAACAAAGACTGTTGCAGCCATCAAGCCATTAGCCTCTGCAGCCAAACCAACAGTGCACCCTGAGGGGACTCAGGATGGAGAAAAACAGGATACGGGCCCTAGATAGTTAAGGTGCATATCAAAGGAATGATTTCATTAAGCCCAGACTCTTTCATCTTCCCATACATAGAAGAGCACTAAATTCATTAACTTGAGATGTCTGGTTTTCTTTAATTAACAGTAATCTTTTGACGTTCTAACTACCTGGTTTGGGTTTTTTGGTTTGTTTTTTTCTTTGTTTTGCAAAAACTCCTAGATTCTGGCTCCTCCCTTACATCTTCGGAACAGTCCCTTAGAGCTATCTGAGAGGCTGCTCCCGGGCTTAATTCCTCATGAATAAAACATAATTCTCAACTTTTCGTTTGTGCACTTTTTTTAGTCTACGGTAGTTCTCCTTTATATTTACATATATATTTATGTATATTTACAGTGAACTCCTTTGACCTCACCTCTAACCCAAGAACATTACCAATAAGTTACACCTATTCATGTGGCTGTCTCCTATTCCAACCCTCTGCCTCTCCTCTGAGATAGTAAGCACTCTCATAGTGGTTGATCATAGGTGACTTACTTCCTCTTTTCTTTTTAGTTCTATCACTTATATATGTACTTAGACAATATGATGTTTAATTTTGCTTGTCTTTGAATTTCATAAAAAGAGTATCGTACAATATATAATCTCCTAGGGTTAGCTAGTTTTCCAACTCCACTGTTGTATTTTATCGTTATATGACTCTGCAGCAACTTATTTATCCATTTCCTGTCAATCATTTTCAGGTTTTGCTCTTATGAACAACATTGAGTGACGCTTCAGCATTACTGCCTGAACAGAAGCTGTTACAGCTGTGACTTCCTTCTCTTACATACTTGTCAGGCAAGTTCTTGCAGATTCCCTTACATGACTCTGGCTGAACATTATACTAACATCTCTTATCTCTCACCAGGAACAACGTGTGCCCTTTAGCAGCTCAGTCAAGAGGATGGACAAGTACTGCTGTAACAGTGTGTAGCCTCAGTCAGGAGCAAAAAGAGTTTTATACAGTGGTCAAAAGTTAAAGGCACCCCAAATGTCCATCAGCTGATGAATGGATGAACAAAATATGGTATAATGGAAAAGTATCTCACAATAAACAGAAATAGAGTACTGATACCTGCTACAAGATGAATGAACCTCAAAAGCATTATGCTGAGTGAAAGAAGGCGTTCACAGAACACCACATATTGTATGATTCCATTTACATGAAATGTCCAGAATAGGCCGATATATAGAAACAAAGTAGATTATTTATTATCAGGGACTAGGGGACTGAAGAGTGACTGTAAATGGGTACATTTGGGGGGTGACGAAAATGTTCTAAAACTGACTGTTGGTCATGGTAGCACAACTCTCTGAACACACTAAAAACCACTCAATTGTACACTTTAAATAGGTGTATTGTACCGTATGTGAATTTTATCCCAAAAGAGCTGCTATTTAAAAAAGCCTCCCAGGAGTTCCCTGGTGGTCCAGTGGTTAAGACTCCAAGCTTCCACTGCAGGGGTCCCAGGTTCAATCCCTGATCAGGGAACTAAGATAAATAAATAAAATAAATAAAAATTTAAAAAAAAATAAAATAAAAGAGTCTCCTCTGTGCATCAAAATGTGGTGGTGACAGCGTGCATTTGCATAGAAGCACTGCCTTCAGGTCTTGCCTCCAGCAGTTTCAAGTTCTAGCCTTCTGAGTAGAGTTATCATTTGTGGTAATTTCCCAATTGAGACATACCTAGGTATGAGTATAAAGATTAGAGCTTAAAATTTTTCCTTTAGTCTTTTTCCATAGTATTCTTCAGCAAGATGTCTATCCATGAATTCTATGGAGTTCTACCATTTTCTTTTCTGACTCTAGTAACTGGACAGAATTTAGGAAGCACGTGTCTGAAGAGGTGAGGGATTTGATTTATTTAGTTATATGGCTTTCAATCTCAGCTCTTCTTGCATGTCTGAGTATGACCGTTTTTACTTCTATCTTAACACAGGACACCAATTTTATCCATTCTATTCTGAGTGAGACGTTGTTGTTGTTGTTTTTATTTAATCCAAAATGCCTTTTAAAGTAAGTTTTTAAATGTCCTAAGTATAATATTGTAGAATCTATCACAATCTCTTCTATTCTATTCTGCAATCTATTACAATCTATTCCAATGTAACTTTAAAATTTCCTCATTTTTGCGTTTTATTTAATCACAGTTGCTTTAGGGTAAAATGATAACAATAATAATAATGTGTGGATCCCTTACTAAGTGATAGGCATTATGTTGAACATATTAAATGCATTATCTCATTTAACTCTGCAAGAGAAATATTATTTGTATACCCATTTATAAGCAAGGAAACTGAGGCTTAGAAAAGTTAGATATCTTGCTCAAAGTTGTACATTCAGTAAATTCAGCCCTGCAGCTCAATGCAGATCTTCCTGACACTAAGTCCCATGCACTTCTAAACCAGAGATCTGCAAACTTTTTCTGTAAAGGGCCAGGCAGTAAGTACTTTAGTCAACAGGAAAATTCAAGGATTTTATGTAGGTACTCGTAAGAGATAAAACAAATGTCCACACGTTTTGAAATTTGAGCCTCATATAATTTTCATGTCATGAAATATTATTCTTTTAATTTTTTTCAACCTACAAAAAATATAAAAATCATTCTGAGCTTGCAGGCTGTACAGAAAGAAGCAGCAAGCCATAGTTGGCCAACTACTGATCTAATAATGCACTGCCTTGTTAAGCTGAATTTTGCAAAAACAGATCACCCTTGCTATTTTAAACTCAGTTTGTAAATCATTCACCATTGCAACCACTCCCCATCCTCAAAGGGTTAGGTACCATAGTATACTACCATACTAATATTCAGAGGAAGGTAGGTCTGAAACTGAGAAGTCTAAACTATTTCTCCAAGGACACTGATACCCAATTTAAAGAGCACCTGACTCTTTGCATTGTGGTAAGAGCCCTCTGTTGGCGCAGAGCTGGATTCCAGCAGCTCAGCTTTGTGGCAATAACCCTGCCATATGTCCTTTGGCATAATTCCCTGCTCCTCCCTTTTGCCTCATTTTTCTCCTTTGAATAATTATGATAGTTGCCACGAGAAAAAGTAAGGACTGTAGCTACATCCACATCAGGGGAAAGCTAAAAATAATGCCAACTTGGTATTGTTTTTTTCTCTCAATTTTGCAACTTCCTGCAAAGGAAAGAACAACACATCAGTGACCAGCAATAACTACTGGCTTAGAGAAAAGGAAACTGAGGGTTTCAAAATTAACCCAGTTCCTCTTATCTAGCTGTGGTTGGTAAATAAATAAATATTTCTTAAATGCTAATATTTATTGATTTATTTGCTATTTTTCATTAGATGCACATGAACTTAGTGTGAATATCTCTGAAAGGCCAGAGGCCAGTGGTTTTTATTCTTGTAACTGCCTTAGTTAAGACAGAATAACAATATTCAAGTATCATATAGTCCTCTGTTAAGATATAAAACCATTTTATGCGCATGAAATAATATTCCTTCCCCAAAATATTGAAGGTGACTGGCAGGTGAAATAAGTACATTTCTGTGTTTTTAGGGAGCGTGACTTTCATTTAAGGCTGTCAGTAATATTATTTGAATTCATTATCTTAGGCTGTTAAACTATGCTACTTATAAGGCTTAGTTTATAGTCCAGTCACTTTTAAATCAGCTTCCCACAAAATCTTTAAAAAAAAGAAAAGCACCATTCAAAGGCTGCAGGCTGGCCAACTTGAGTGGTGCACTATTCTCTCTAAAATATACTATCGGGCAAAGAGTGGGTGTTGAGCAAAACTAGAAGAATGTTGTGCAATGATTTATATTGTAATGGTTTAGGAGACAGTCTAAATAATATCCTCTTCTACTGTCGATAGAAATTTAGAAGTGACATTTGTGGCTTTATTTAAGTTTCACTTTCTAACTTCTATGGTTTTAAAGAAGTGTATGCCAAAATCCATATGCACCTGCTCATGATTGCTTAAATGTAAATAAAAGACACAGAAACAAAAGTGAAAGATCTCCATTCTTCCTTCCTCTTACTAATCCTCCAAATTTCCTCAAAGACTGTTTAATTGCACTTAACTGAAATACTGTGCTATCAGCAAAGCCAGGGCTTCCTGGTTTCAAGACCAGTGTCTTTGGAGTCCCATAGCTCTGTCTCTCAATTAGGCATTACGACTTCACTTATGGAGGAAGATTCATGAACTTTCTTCAGATTGACTTACTTACTTTCCTCTTATTATTTTAATGTTTTTGTTCTGCCCTTGAGTCTCAGTGTAGGCTGCTCCAAATACATAGCAGCAAATATTTTCAAGCCACGCAGCCACTTCCGTATCTCTGTCTCAATCACATAATCTTTCTATGGGAACTTCCTTCACATCAGCACCCTTACTCCTTCTGCAAGCTACCTTTATTTTAGTGGTCCTTCCAAACTTATGTGCATAATAATTTGAAATTTCCTGAATTAGGTACTGTATGTTAGGTACATCCCCCTCTTCTTTAATAATAGCAGACCCCCTGAATTTTAAGCTAGGTACATGGCCTCTTAGGATAAAGATTACCCTTCCTAGGCTACCTTGCAACTAAGAACGGTCATGTGATGAAGTTCTGGCTCACGGACTGGATGAGAAGTGGTGTGTGGCAGTTTTGTAGAACATAGTGTCCTTCATTTCTTCTTTCTCTTGCTGCCTGGGATACAGAAGTGATGGCTGGAGCGATTCTTGGTTACTAAGAATGGGAGCCACACCCCAGAGATGTGGGAGCAGAGACCTGGAAGCAGCCCACACCCTGG